CTGGTTTATCCAATCACAAGCTCGTCTTCCACCGGGCGTGTTGTGATTGGTTAATACTGTGGATGTGACTCAAAATGACCAATACATGCATTGCTTTAAATCTTGGGGCCAGGACTGGAGCGATAGCACAGCAGGTAGGGCGTTTGCCTTGCATGCAGCCGACCGGGGTTCAATTCCCAGCATCCCATATGGTCCCCTGAGCACCGGCACGGGTAATTCCTGAGTGCAGAGCCAGGAGCAATTCCTGTGCATCGCTGGGTATGACCCCAAAGGCAAAATAAATAAATGAATTTAAAAAAAAAAGATTTCCAGCCTTTAAAAATAAATAAATAAATAAAATAAATCCTGGGGACTTCGATGGGCAAATCTTGCTTTGGGAGCGTTAATCCTGAGGATAAAGGGGTACCAGCACAGTTCTGTGCCCGCAGTTAGGAGTCGTGGCTATGGAACCGACAGGCTTGATGTTATCTCTAATCCCAATTTTCTTGCTTCCTAATCAATAAAATCCCGTCCTGCGGAAACTGGAGCGAGCTGGGGTTTTGTCCCTCACAAACTCCATAACTTAGAGGCCAGCCGGGTATCCTAGAGGAAAGGGCTATTCAGATAGAGAAGGGAGCACCAAATAAAGGATGTTTGGAGGATCCTCCCAGGAGGGGAGATGCATGTCGAAAGTAGACTATGGACTGAACATGTTTGCCACTCAATGCCTCTTTTGCAGACCACAACACCCAAAAGGAGAGAGAGAACACAGGGGATTGCCCTGCCACAGAGACGGGGGGAAGGGGGAATGGGGGTGGGAGGGATATTATCCATGGTGGTGGAAAATGGGCACTGGTGGAGGGATGGGTATCTGATCATTGTATAATTGAAACCAAAGCACAAAAAATTGTAAATCTACAACTTTAAAAAAAATAAAATAAAATAAAGGGAAAAAAATTAAAAAAAAAAAAAAAGCAAATGATCTGAGACGTTTAGAAACGCGGGACGCCTGGCGTCGACCTGCAGGCAACGGCTAGATCCTCCTACTCTAAGAAAGTTGCGTGTCTAAACACCCCTTGCACTTACTCTTCGAAGAGTAAACGGGCGTGTCTTCATTTCGCGATGGAGAAAGGGGTCAGAAGGCGGCTTCAGTAACCCCAGGACAGAAACACAGGTTAAGGAGCAGGTCTCGGTTCTGCAGCTTGGTGATGCTTGTTGAATTTTTCATTTTTCATTTTTATTTATTTATTTATTCTTGCCTTTTGGGTCACACCCAGCTTTGCACAGCGGTTACTCCTGGCTCATGCACTCAGGAATTACTCCTGGCGGTGCTCGGGGGACCATATGGGATGCTGGGAATCGAACCCGGGTCGGCCGCGTGCAAGGCAAACGCCCTACCCGCTGTGCTATCGCTCCAGCCCCAATTTTTCATTGGTTTGGGGCCAAAACACGGGGTGCTCAAGGTTTACTCCTGGTGGTGCTCAAGGGACCCTATGGGGTACCGAGAAACGAACCTGGATCAGTTGCGGGCAAGGCAAGTGACCTTCCCATTGTGCTAGTGTTCCAGTCCGTTTCTGTTTGTTGTTGTTTTGTTTGGGGGCCACTCCTGATGATGCTGAGGGGTTACAACTGGCCCTGTGCCCAGGAAACACTCATGGCAATGCTCGGTGGACCATATGGGTTGCCAGGAACTGAATCAGGGTCAGTAGCATGCAAGGCAAAACACCCTCTCCGTTGTAATAGCTCTCTCGCCTTCTGTTTCTGTTTTTTTTCTGTTTGTTTTTCTCTTTCGTCTGTTTCTGAATTTAATTTAATTTATTTATTTATTGTTTTTTTTGGTCACATCCAGCGATGCTCAGGGATTACTCCTGGCTCATGCACTCAGGAATCACTCCTGGCGGTGCCCAGGGGATCATATGGGATGCTGGGAATGGAGCCCGGGTGTTTCTGTATTTTAAAACTCATTGGTTGGAGATAGACAGTCCAGGAGATAAGGCATTTGCTTTTTATACAGCTGACCTATGTTGGATCTCCAGAACCACATGTAAGTCCCCTGAGCACCACCAGGCACTTTCAGATGCCTCCCCCCAAAACAAACAAAAAAACAAACAAAGTTGGGACTGGAGCAATAGCACAGCAGGTAGGGCGTTTGCCTTGCACGTGGTCGACCCGGGTTCGACTCCCAGCATCCCATATGGTCCCCTGAGCACCGCCAGGAGTGATTCCTGAGTGCATGAGCCAGGAGTAATCCCTGAGCATTGCCTGGTGTGACTAAAAAAAGTAAAAAAAAAAAAAAGTCAAAACCAAACCGGGGCGCTAGTAATAGTACAGCAGGTAGGCGACTGTCTTGCATGCAGCCGACCTGGGTTCGATCTCTGGCACCCCATACGGAACACTGAGTCCCTCCAGGGGTAGGTTCTGAGCACTGCCTGGTGTGCACCCCTCACCTCCAAAAATCAATGTGTCAGGCTGAGGTAGAGAAACTGGTTAACCACGAAACTGTTGATGCCAAAGCCACCGCCATCAGCCGTGTGATTTGTAAGCTGCCAGGATAGTTACAAGGGCCGTGTTGTCCCCTGAGGACTCAGAACGGGACTCTTATCCAGGACAACCTGGCCTCAGTTTTGCTGCCTCACATGCCCTCGGTATAGGGTTCCTAGCCACACCATAGGATCTTTTCTCTCTTTTTTTTTTCTTTTCTGGTCACAATCAGCGATGCTCAGGAGTTATTCTATTTTTTTTTCTGTTCGGGTCACACTCAGCGATGCTCAGGGGTTACTCCTGGCTCCGCACTCAGGAATTACTCCTGGCGGTGCTCAGTGGACCATATGGGATGCTAGGAACGCCCTACCCGCTGTATTATCGATACATCCCCTCAGGAGTTATTCTTGGGACTCAGAACTCAAGAATGAATCCCTGGTGGTGCTCAGCATCCTATGGGATGCTGGGGATCAAACCTGGGTTGGCTGCTTGCATGGCAAACACCCTCCCCGCTGGACTATCGTTCCAGACCAAAGAATTGTTTCTTAAGTGGCCCACTGATGGGTGGGGTATTATTTCAGAAGGTCTCATGCCAGGATTTCCATCCATTCCTGTTTGCTGGGTTTTCAGTAGCTGGCAGGGCTGAAACTAGGCACAGACAAAACCCAGGAGGACTGGGTTCCAAGGAAGGGGTGCTCTCCAAGGTACCAACCACCTCGCACCTCAATCACCCATGTGCTACCTCATTCTCCTTTCCACCCCCTGTCTGTGTCTCCCCCACTCCTCAGTTTTGGGGCCACAACTAGTAGTACTCATGATATGTGTATGTGTGTATATATATGTATGCATATATATCCTAGATGATTAAGCTCACTTGGATTTATTGTTCTCCCTCTGACCTGCTTTGCTTATCAAGATTCTCTCCAATTCCATCAAATACCACAAACTTGGGGGGTGGGGGGACAACTTCAGCTGAGCTTACTCCTGGCTCTGTGCTCACAGATATTCTTGGAGGAGTTAAAGGGACCCTGTGTGGCCCTAGACACGAAACTAGAACCAGAGAGAAAGAGAGAGAGAGTGAGAGAGAGAGAAAGAGAGAGAGAGAGAGAGTGCACAGCTGGTAAGACACTTCCCTTGCATGTGTCTGATCTAGGTTCAATCCTCGCATCCCACAGGGTCCCCTGAGCACTTCCAGAAGTGATCCCTGAGTGCAGAGCTAGGAGCAAGCCCTGAGCTTCACCAGGTGTGACCCAGAAACAAAGAAATAAACCAAAAAACCCATAGACGTGAAACCAGAATTGTCAAGTGCCGTCACCCCTAGAATATTATTGCTCCAGCCCCAAGAACAACAATCTCCATTTGGGAGAGAAGACCCCCAAGAAGAGCTCAAGGTGGGGGCTGGGGACTTCCCGACAATCCTGAGGTCAGCGGGGTTGAAGGGTCAATGCTTGGCTTGGCAATACAGCACATCTCAGAGTCGGCAATGTTGGGGGCCATCAGGGTCTCCGTGGTTTGGGGGCACCATGAAGTGCCGGAAATGAAGCGTGTGCCCCACTAAGCTCTCTCTCTCTCCAATCCATATTTATTTCCATTTTACTTATTTTTTGGTTTGGAGGACACACCTGGCGATGCTCAGGAGTTAGTTCTGAGTTCTGCACTGAAGAATCCCTCCTGGTACTGCTCAGCGGATCCTAGAGACTGCGGGGATCGAACCTGGGTGGACCATATGCAAGGCAAGTGCCCTCCCCATTGTACTATATCTCTGACTCTCTTATTTCTATTTTATAGAGTAGAAAATGGAGGCTCAGAGGAATGAAAAGACAGACCCACGGTTGGAGAGGTAGTACAGTGGGGAGGACACTTCTCTTGCATGCAGACAACCTGGGTTTGATAACCTGGCACCCGATAGTATCCCCTGAGCCCTGCCAGGCGTGACCCCTGGGCACAGAGCCTGGAGTCAGCACTGAGCACTGCTCGGTGTGGTCCAAAATAAATAAATAGATAGATAGATAAATATACTGACCCAGGGCGGGAGAGATAATACAGGGGGTCACGATCCTAGTTCAATCCCTGGCACCATGTACGACCCCTGGAGCCCACCAAGTGTGATCTCTGAGCACAGAGCCAGGAGTCAGCCCTGAGCACTGCCAGATGTGAGCCCCCAAGGCTGGTGTGCAGGGCATGGGCATCAGGAGGGGTTGGTTCTATTGTTCAGCGCCAAATGCTTTCTTTCCCCTCCCCCCCCGCCCCCCCCCCCCCCCCGCTTGCAGCTGTATAACTCCACTGTCTCCCTTGACTTTTTACCGGTGTCTACACTGGAGCTGGTGTCTCTACCACAGTTCCCTGCAGAGACATCTCTGCGCAATTCTCATTCTACCCAGGGTGGGGGTTCTTTCCCATGCTCCTCCCACAGTGCTCGGGTCTGGAGTCCTGACTCCAGGGAATCCCCCACCCGCCGGCCTCCAGACCCCGGAGCTGCCTTCCGGTGTGGCTGTGGGCTGAGGAACGGCGAGCGAGTGGGTTCGAGGGTTTATCGCTGTTTATTGCTGGCTGGGGCAAGGGTAGTTGGGAAACTGCTGTGCCTGCAGGTTGACCTTGTTGGCCAGGCAGCTTCGCTGATGCATGGTGCCCAGGGGCAGGTGGCTCTCCTGGTTGGTGCCCACAGCCAGCACTGCGGGGCCCTCGAATTTCCAGGGGTACTTGTGGTTGTAAAGGGTGGACAGGAAGCGCTCTGTCCCCAGCGGGGGTTCTATGTGGCTGTACTTGCACTGTGGAGTCAGGATGTTTCTGGCTAGTTCCAGAAACCCCCCACGGACCACCCACCCTCAAAACCCTGGGGGAGAGGTTCAGCCCAGGCTGAGCGATGGATGCCCTCCAGGGGAGTGGACAGGGGGGCCCTACCCCCTGGTTTGGGCCAGCCCAGGAGAGGAAAAGAAACCAGAGGGCTGGAGCAATAGCACAGCGGGTAGTGCGTTTGCCTTGCACGCGGCCAACCCGGGTTCAATTCCCAGGATCCCATATGGTACCCCAAGCACCGCTAGGAGTAATTCCTCAGTGCAGAGCCAGGAGTAAGGCCTGAGCATGCCAGGTGTGACCCAAAAGCAAAAAGAAAAAAAAAGAAAAGAAAAAAATGAAACCAGAGAGAGATGGAGATGGGAGAGAGCCGGGTCCTGGGGGGCTGACAGTGGACGATGCTGAGCTAAGCCCTGGCTCGGGGCATAAGAGGCTGTGATGACAGCAAGGTGACTCGGGGCTGGAGTGATAGTACAGCGGGCAGGGAGCTTGCCTTGCATGCAGACGATCCAGGTTCAATTCCCAGCACTGCACAAGGTCCCCGGTGCTCGGCCAGAGTGCAGAGCCAGGAGTAAGCCCTGAGCATTGCTGGGAGGGCCCCCCCCATCAAAAAAGATGGCCCTGGAGAGAAGCCTTAAAGGGCTGGAGTGAGAGGATGGTGTAAGCATCCTGAGGGAAGCCTGGACTGATCTGGAAGCTCCCTGGCTTGGAGGTACCTCCTCCCACTGTCCCCTCACCCTCTGAAGCTGCTCCTCAGTTATGGTGGCTGGACATGGTCTGTGTGGCTTCATCATTTTCTGGTGCAAGGTTAAGAAATCTGTTTCTGGGGTGGGAGAGAGGGTGAAGGGGGTTATGTGCTGCCCACCCTCATTCTCAGTCCCCAGCATTGCGGGGTGGGAGGTGGTGGGGGGGTGGTATGGCCCTTTAAACCTCTCCCTTCCTGCCTGCACCATGAAAAGGAGTTAGGACCAAAAGAGGAAGGATACGGAAAGAGGCGGGGTTAAGGATATGGAAGGGGTGGGGTTGAGGATATGAAAGGGGCGGGGTTAGGCCCAGTAGAGGGGAGATATGGGAAGGGGCACGGTTAAGGATGGGAAGGGGCGGGGTTAAGGATATAAAAGGGGTGGGGTTGAGGATATGAAAGGGGCGGGGTTAGGGCCAGTAGAGGGGAAATATGGGAAGGGGCGGGGTCAAGGATGGAAAGGGGGCGGGGATAAGGATATAAAAGGGGTGGGGTTGAGGACATGAAAGGGGCGGGGTTAGGGCCAGTAGAGGGGAGATATGGGAAGGGGCGGGGTTAAGGATGTGAAGGGGCGGGGTTAAGGATATGGAAGGGATTGGGTTGAGGACATGAAAGGGGCGGGGTTAGGGCCAGTAGAGGGGAGATATGGGAAGGGGCAGGGTTAAGGATGTGAAGGGGCGGGGTTAAGGATATGGAAGGGGTGGGGTTGAGGGCATGAAAGGGGCGGGATTAGGGCCGGTAGAGGGGAGATATGGGAAGGGGCGGGGTTAAGGATGTGAAGGGGCGGGATTAAGGATATGAAAGGGGGTGGGGTTAAGGATATGGAAGGGGCGGGGTTGAGGACATGAAAGGGGCGGGATTAGGGCCAGTAGAGGGGAGATATGGGAAGGGGCGGGGTTAAGGATGTGAAGGGGCGGGGTTAAGGGTATGAAAGGGGTGGGGTTGAGGACATGAAAGGGGCGGGGTTAGGGCCAGTAGAGGGGAGATATGGGAAGGGGCGGGGTTAAGGATATGGAAGGGGTGGGGTTGAGGACATAAAAGGGGTGGGGTTGAGGGCATGAAAGGGGCGGGGTTAGGGCCAATAGAGGGGAGATATGGAAAGGGGCGGGGTTAAGGATGTGAAGAGGCGGGGTTAAGGATGTGAAGGGGCGGGATTAAGGATATGGAAGGGGTGGGGTTGAGGACATAAAAGGGGTGGGGTTGACGGCATGAAAGGGGCGGGGTTAGGGCCAGTAGAGGGGAGATATGGGAAGGGGCAGGGTTAAGGATGTGAAGGGGCGGGGTTAAGGATGTGAAGGGGCGGGATTAAGGATATGGAAGGGGTGGGGTTGAGGACATAAAAGGGGTGGGGTTGACGGCATGAAAGGGGCGGGGTTAGGGCCAATAGAGGGGAGATATGGAAAGGGGCGGGGTTAAGGATGTGAAGGGGCGGGGTTAAGGATAAGAAAGGGGTGGGATTAGGGCCGAAGGGAGAGCTATGAAAAGGGGCGGGTTAAGGATATAAAAAGGGGCGGGGTCAAGGATATCGAAGGGGTGGGGTTAGGGCCAATAGAGGGAAGATATGAAAGGGGGCGGGGTTAAGATATGAAGGGGCCAGGTTAGGGCTGGAAGAGGGATATGGAAGAGGTGGTGTTAGGAGGGCCGGATCAGAAGGTGGAGTGTGAGCTGGCAGAGATTGGTGCCTGGAAGAAAGGGGACCAGGGGAGGGGAAGGAGTTCTGACAATAAGGAACAGGTAGTTCAAGGGCAGAGCTGAGATGATGAGTGGGGGAAGGGGCGAGGCGCATAGGAGGTGGAGCTAGAAGGGAGGGGTGGGACCCCGAGGGCGGGGCGGCTCGGGTGGGCGTGGCCACACTCACCACCAGTGCCCCTGGGTAGATTGCTCTCCAGCAGGTGGAGGGTGGGCTCTAGGGGGATCCTGATTGTATCCGAGGGGGCGTAGTCGGTTCCCATGGTGGTCTGGAAGAACTTCTTGAGCAGCATCGAATCCCCCAGGCTCACGTGACTCTGCAGTTGCTCGTGTGGCACGTGGCGGGTTCCCGGCTTGCAGGCCATGGTGATGGGCTAGAGAAAGACGTGGCATCCCGCATCCGGTCCCTCGGGTGGGGTGCCAGAGGGGGGGCATGCCTCGGTTGGCGGGACGGGGTGGGGGCACTAGACTGCCCTGGACAGTCTCTTTGGGCTGCAGTTGAGGAGGCTGTGGGTTGGCACTGGGATCTTGTAGGGTAGGCAGAACTGCCGAGGAGAGCTGGAGTGTGTGGGTGTACCGAGCTCGGCAAAGAGATCCAGGGATCCCACCCCACCCCACCCCGGCCCTCCAACGAAGGCTCTTTCCCCTGAGGGGTCCTGATCACCTGGCCGTGGCAGAGGTTTGTGGTGGTGGTGAAGCTGCCTGGACCGTGATGCCTGTTTCCTTCCAAGATGTGGGACTGTGGGGCATGTTCGTGGTGGAGAACAAAACGCTCTGTTGTGGGCCAGAGAAACGCACAGTGGGGAAGCCTTGCAGGTGGCAGACCCCAGTTCAATCCCTGGCACTACATAGGGTCCCCCAAGCCTCTCCAGCAGCGATGTCTGAGCCAGGAGTAGACCCTGAACACTCCCGGGTGTGGTCCCCAAACAAAAAAAATCCAACCAAAACGGTCACAGTGACGGTCCTCCCGTTGTTCATCGATTTGCTCGAGCGGGCACCGGTAACGTCTCCATCGTGAGACTTCTTGTTACTGTGTTTGGCATCTTGAATACGTCACGGGGAGCTTGCCAGGCTCTGCCGTGCGGGCAAGATACTCTCAGTAGCTTGCCGGGCTCTCCGAGAGGGGCGGAGGAATCGAACTCGGGTCACCTATCCTATGTTGGCTGCGTGCAAGGCAAACGCCCTACCCGCTGTGCTATCGCTCCAGCCCTATAGCACAGCAGGTAGGGCATTTGCCTTGCATGCGGCCGACCCAGGTTCGATTCCCAGCATCCCATATGGTCCCCCGAGCAACACCAGGAGTGAGTCCTGAGTGCATGAACCTGGAGTAACTGCTATGCATCGCTGGGTGTGACCAACCAAAACAAGAATCAAAAAAACAACAGTACCAGTGGCAGAGATGGTCCCAATTGTGCCTGTGGCCCATAGCATGGCTGGCAGCAGTGACACATATTTTTTGTTTTGGTTTGGTTTGGGGCCACACCCAGAGGTGCTCAGGATTTACTTCTGGTTCTGCACTCAAGAATTACTCCCGAGGCTGGAGCGATAGCACAGCAGGTAGGGCATTTGCCTTGCAAGCGGCCGACCCGGGTTCAATCCCCAGCATCCCATAGGGTCCCCCGAGCACTGCAAGGAGTAATTCCTGAGTGCAGAGTCAGGAGTAACCCCTGTGCATCGTCAGGTGTGACCCAAAAAGCAAAAATAATAATAATAATAATTACTCCTGGTGGTACCCATGGAATGCTGGGAATCGAACCTGGTCAGGCCCATGCAAGGCAAATCCATCCACCCACGATTCTGTCGTCAAACAGCGGGGTCTTACCTGGCTCCTGGGCATTGAAGTGTAGTGCTTTAGTGGTCTCACCACGGAAGAGGTCATCTCCAGGACAAATATGGACAAAGTGGACCTGGGCATATGCCCGAGCCTTGTCATATCTGCAGAAAAGGAAAGGAGGGGAAAATTCAATCTGGACTTTTGGTGGCGGGCGGGGGTATGCTGTGGTGTTCGGGAGTTACTCCTAGCAGTGCTGTTCCATGGAGTGCTGGGTTCGAGCCCAATCTCCTGCATGCAAAGTCTGTGCTTAGTCTAAGTTTTTGCTGAGTTTTTGTTTCTTGTTTTGGGTGGTGCTCAGGATTGACTCCTGACTCTGTACTCAAGAATCACTCCTGAGGGGCTGGAGCAATAGCACAGCAGGTAGGGTGTTTGCCTTGCACGCGGCTAACCCGGGTTCGACTCCCAGCATCCCATAGGGTTCCCTGAGCACCACCAGGGTTAATTTCTGAGTATAGAGCCAGGTGTAACTCCTGTACATCGCCAAGTGTGACCCAAAAAGAAAAAAAAAAAAAGAATCACTCCTGATGGGCTTAGGGGACTGTACAGGGTGCTGGGAATTGTATCTGGGTCGGTCATGTGCAAGACAAATGCCCTACCTGCTGTCCCATTGCTTCTGACTCCATGCTGAGCTTTTGGAAATAATTTTTGATTGCTAGGGAAACCGAGGGAGAGCAGATTTTCTGTGAACAGGGGGTTTCGGGACAGAGATCTGGCCCACCAGTGGGCCTTGCCTATGGGACCATCTTAAAGGCACACGATTGGTCCTTAAAGCCTTAGGGCAATAATTTTCAATTGATAGTTTGCAGAAATTTCCTGCCTGTCCAGAATACAGTTATTGCCACTTAAGTGACAGCGGTGATCTTTGTTCTTTTTGTTTGTTTGGGGGGGGGCACACCTGGAAGTTCCTGGGGCCAAGACATGGTTCTGTGCTTGGGTGGTCACACCTGGCAATACTCAGGAGACCAGGTGATGTTGTAACCAAACCGTGGCCTCCTCCATGCAAAGCCTGGCCTCTGAGCTCTCTCGCCAATCTTTTTGTTTCCTTCGGGGGAGGGAGGCCCCATCCAGTGGTACTTGGGAGCTCCGGTGTTCAGAGGCCACGTCTGGAGGCGCTTGCGAAACCATGAAGAACCAGGGATAGAACGCGGGTTCTCCACGCGCTAAGCATGTGCTCCAACCCTTTGAGCCCTCCCTGCAACCTCGACAGTGGTTTACGACGACTGGTTCATAAATATAAAAAAGGTCGGAATCACTGGCTTTGGTGTCACCCCCACATGCCCCAAACCCTTAGCCATATCTTGGTGGAAGGTCACACCCATAGGAGGAAGACCACATGTCTTGATGTAAGCTCATGCCCCTTCGGTGGAAGGACAGCCCCTTTGATGGAAGACCACGTCCCCTCTGTATAAGTCCACACCCTTCTGTGGAAGACCACGCCTTTTGGTTAAAGGCCACGCCCTTCTGCAGAAGACCACGCCCTTTGGTGGAGGCCACGCCCTTCGGTGGAAGACCACGCCCTTGGTGGAAGGCCACGCCCTTCTGTAGAAGACCACGCCCTTCTGTAGAAGGCCACGCCCTTCGGTGGAATGCCACACCCTTTGGTGTAAGACCACGCCCTTGGTTGAAGACCACGCCCTTCGGAGGAAGGCCACGCCCTTCGGTGGAAGACCACGCCCTTCGGTAAAAGGCCACGCCCCCTCGGGGAAGCCCTCTTCCCTTAGTACCTGTCTGGGGGCAGACCCTGAGGCACGAAAGCTTCTTTCTTTTCGGAGCACATGGGTCCAGAGCCCAGCTTGACATCTCCCAGTTGGATGCTGGAGGTGGCCTATGTGCAGACAGGGATGGGAAGGGCAAAACCACCCAGTCGTCTGCCACCGCCCTGTCCCTGGCCACACCACCCTGCCTCGACTTACCCTCGCACACATCAAGGCCGGAGGGCTTCCCGGGGCCAAGAACTGTCTCTTGTAGGAAGTCTCATCGTCATGGGTCCTACGGTCCCACTGGAGGGGGTTGGCGTGATCTGGGTGGGGGGGCAGGAGATGAGGGAGCATGAGGCTGAGTCCTGAAAATCACAGTCTCCACTGGGGTGGGGGTCCGTGCCTTGGGAAGGGTGTGAGGCTAATTAGCAGAAGCTGAGGGCTGCTTCTCCATCAAACTACGAAGTAATGGGGCGTGCAGAGATAGCATGATGGACTGAATGCAGGCTTTGCTGTGTGTTTTTTTTTTATTAATATATATTTTGCTTTTTGGGTCACACCCGACAATGCTCAAGGATTACTCCTCACTCTGCACACAGTAATCACTCCTGGTGGTGCTCGGGGGACCATATGGGATGCCGGGAATCGAACCTGGCTCAGCTACATGCAAGGCAAATGTCCTATTGCTCTGTCCGTCTGAGTGCAGGTTTTGTAAGCAGGAGGCCTGGGCGTGGTTCCCAGCATCACACAGTCCCTCAGGACCAACCCACGAGCACCAACTCAGGAGTAGCCCATGAGTACTTCCAGTACTTCTAAAATCAATCAAAAAGAGCAGTAATGGGGGGGGGGGCTGGAGTGATAGCACAGCGGGGAGGGCGTTTGCCTTGCACGCGGCCGACCCGGGTTTGATTCCCAGCATCCCATATGGTCCCCCGAGCACCGCCAGGAGTAACTCCTGAGTGCAGAGCCAGGAGGAACCCCTGTGCATCGCCAGGTGTGACCCAAAAAGCAATAATTAATTAATTAATTTAAAAAAAGAAAAAAACAGTGACAGGGGCTGGAGCAATAGCACAGCGGGTAGGGCGTTTGCCTTGCACGCGGCCGACCCGGGTTTGATTCCCAGCATCCCATATGGTCCCCCGAGCACCGCCAGGAGTGATTCCTGTGCAATGTCCGGGTGTGATCCAAAAAAGCAAAAAAAAAAAAAAAAAAAAAAAGAGCAGTAATGGCGCCCAAGCTCTGAGCCCTGCACCCCAACTCTGTTTTCCTTGGGGAGGACGTTTGGGCCACTCCTGGTAGTGCTCAGGGCTTATTCCTGGATCTGTGCTAAGGGATCACTACTGATGATGATCAGGGGACACTGCATAGTTCTGCGAAGCAAACCAGGGTTAGATGTGTTGCAAGGCAAGTGTCCAACGCACTGTACTAACTCTCCACCCTGCATCCCGTCCTTTCCCCTCCTGGCCACTACTGCCCTACAGGTTTCAAAGCAGCGTAAGGGGGCTCCAGGCGACCCTGTGGTTTCTCAATAATTTTTTTGCTTTTTGGGTCACACCTGGCGATGCACAGGGGTTCCTCCTGGCTCTGCACTCAGGAGTTACTCCTGGCGGTGCTCAGGGGACCCTATGGGATGCTGGGACTCGAACCCGGGCCGGCCCCATGCAAGGCAAACGCCCTACCCGCTGTGCTATTACTCCAGCCCCTGTTTCTCAATTTTTTTGACTTGGTTTTGTGTTTGAGCCACACCTGGCGATACCCAGGAGTTACTCCTGGCTCTGCACTCGCTCCTGGAGGTGCTCATGGGACTCTATGGGATGCCAGGGATCGAACCCCGGTCTGCCGCAAGCCAGGCAGGCGCCTTACCCGCTGTACTATCACTGCGGCAGGGTTTCTCCGTCTACTGACAACTGGGAGTGAACAATTTTTTGTTTGGGGGTCATGGCCAGCGGGACCGAGTACCAGCTATTCCCGGCACTGTGCTCAGGAGCGCTCTCTGGCGGTGCTCGTGAGATTCTGTGGTGCAGACGATGAACGGGACTCACTGCCCCCAAGGCAAGTGCTCTCCTCCGCCACCCTCACCCCCACCCCGACATCTCTGTGGCCCCACTGAATTGGATAATTATTTGGGGGAGCGGGGGGGGAGGGGAGCACAGCCGGTGGCGCTCAGGTTAGGGATCACTCCTGACAGTGCTTGGGGAAATCGTATGAGGTGCCGGGAACTGAATCCGGGTCCGGTGCATGCAAGGCCAGCACCCTCCCGCTCTGTACCATCTCGCCAGCCCCTAAATAGGAGAATTCTTTGCTAGGAGCGAAGGGCTGCATGGGAGAGATCAGAAGAGGGGGGGCACCACATTCCAGGGCCTCCATCCATTCACTCCCTGCCCGGTGCGACATCCCCTGGAAATCACAGTGCCTGCAGACCTCGCCAAGCGGAGTTGCTCAGAATCCCCCCGCGCGTCCCCTCTCCCGTCCGGGGGCCTCCCCGGGCTCACGGAGGTGTCGTCCAGCCCTGCGGCTCTGTGGGCACGAGGGATAGGGCGGAAAGAAGTCCTGGTAGGTGGTGGCCAGGAGGCGCGGCTTGGAGAGGTCGCCCTTGGGCATCGAGTCCCGGCCGAAGACGAGGCGCTGGGTCAGGGCCAGCTCCTGGTCGCGCGGTGGCCGCTGCAGCCAGCCGTAGCCGGCGCGCGCGGTGGACACGGCCGTGCGGGTGCGCGCGTCGGCCTCCAGGGGCACGTGGCTGCTCTGCATGGCCAGTGTCCGCGCCTGGACCAGAGCCTGCCCGTCGGCCGGCTGCTGCGGGGGCAGCGGCGTGAACGCGCCGTGCGCCTCGGACACAGCCTCGGCCACGGCCTGGGACACTGCCCAGGACGGGAGCGTGGGCAGGAAGGGGTGGCGCGACGCCCTGGGCCTCAGCATCACCAAGGGCGTCACGTCGTGCGCCGGGAAGTGTCGGTGCGACGTGGTCTGCGGGGTGCCCACTTGCAAGCGCGGATCGGGGCCCAGGGAGAAGTGAGAGGTTTGGGTGATCTCCCGGCCGGCCGGTGGACGCGGCAGGAAGGCGCTGGAGGTCATCGCTGAGCCCGAGGCCACCTGGGAGGGGGAAAAAACAGAGGACAAGAGGCTGGAGCGATAGTACAGTGGGTAGGGCGTTTGCCTGGCACGCGGCCGACCTGAGTTCGATTCCCAGCATCCCATAGGGTCCCCTGAGCACTGCCAGGAGGAATTTCTGAGTACAGAGCCAGGAGGAACCCCTGTGCATTGCTGGGTGTGACACAAAGCACCGTAGCACTGTCCTCCCGTTGTTCATCGATTTGTTCGAGCGGACCCAGTAACATCACCATTGTGAGACTTGTTGTCACTGTGTTTGGCATATTGAATACGTCACGCGGAGCTTGCCAGGCTTTGCAGTGCGGGCGAGATACTCTCGGTAGCTTGCCGGGCTCTCCGAGAGGGGCGGAGGAATCGAACCTGGCTCGGCCAGGCCGGCTGCGCGCAAGGCAAACGCCCTGCCGTTGTGGGCTGGAGAGACAGCACAGCGGGTAGGGCGTTTGCCTTGCACGCGGCCGACCCGGGTTCGATTCCCAGCATCCCATCTGGTCCCCTGAGCACCGCCAGGAGTAACTCCTGCGTGCAGAGCCAGGAGGAACCCCTGTGCATTGCCAGGTGTGACCCAAAAAACAAACAAAACAAAACAAAACAAACAAACAAAAAAGCCCTACCGTTGTGCTATCCCTCCAAGAAAAAAAAAATAGAGAACAAGGCCACACTCCTCACCCCGCTCCAGTTTCCAGCTTCCAGGCACTCGGCTTCCAGGGCACAGAGATATGGAAGCACAGACCAAGCCCCAAGCCTGTGTGCAGGGAAGTGGAGACTTGGGCAGACGGTGTGTGTGTGGCGGGGCCGACAGGGGTCACGTTGTTGAACCAAACTCACCCAGCTTGGTGACGTCAATGGAGTGCAAAGCAATGGAAGAACGGATAAATGGAATAACCCCCTCCCCCACCACACACACCCTTGCTGGGGCTTCTCTGTTCACTGCTCAAAGCAAAGGGGGTCTCCCCACATGTCCTCCCTGGCCTTTAGATTACCCTCCCCTGACCCAAGCTCCCCTCCGTCAGAAACCCTCCCAGACTGCCAGGACTCGTTCCTGTTGATTTATTTGTTTTTGTTTGTTTGTTTTGCTTTTTTTGGCCACACCCAGCGATGCTTAATGGTTCCTCCTGGCTCTGCACTTGGGAATTACTCCTGGCGGTACCCGGGGGACCCTATGGGATGCTGGGGATCGAACCTGGGTCGGCCACGTGCAAGGAAAACTCCCTCTCGGCTGTACTATCGCTCCAGCCCCCATGTTGATTTATTGGGAGGGCGGATTTATTATGCAATTAGGCTCAGAAGCTACTCCCAGCCTGGTGCTCACAGGGGCCTTCCGGCAGTGCCGAGGGAGGGGGCCCTCAGTGCCAGGGCTGTAACTTGGACCTCCTGTGCCCGGTTCACCAAGCCATTTCCCTGGAACTATCAGGCCATAGGGGTTGGCACCAAAACCAATTTTCCCCTGACTACTAAAGGAGCCAGAGAAATAGTACAGCAGGGAAGGCGCTTGCCTTGAAGACCCAGATTTGATCCTCAGCACTGCCCAGGGGTCCCCCAAGCATGTCCAGGAGTGAGCCCTGAGCACAGAGCTAGGAGTAAGTCCTGAGCACTGCTGGGTGTGGACCCCCCAATTCCCCAAAAAGCAATGAAAAGGGGAAAAAATACAGAGAATCAAGTCTTCAAGAATGAACTTGATTTTCTGTATTTTTTCCCTTTTCATTGCATTTTGGGGACGCCACCACGTCCTCCCTGGACACTTACGGGACGGCCGTACCTGCCCGGAGGAGTGTCAGGTCACTAAGAATTTCAGGAACTGTGCTTGCATGAGCCTGATGCGTGCCTCTAGGTGCCTCTGGGTGCCTCCTCCCCTCTGACACCCTCTCCAAGTGTGCTCTGGTCCTGCCTATTGTGACCCACTGTAACACCCATTAGACCACTCACAATGGTCCCCCAGCAACTGTCAGGAGGGAAACACCACCTGGTTCTCCAACACTTCCAGGAGGAAGCTTTAGTATTGATCTGGGAGTAACCTCTGGGCATAAATGTGTCCCCCCAAGTAAAAAGAATCGGTTAGGGCGTTTGCCTTGCAAGTGGCCGACCTGGGTTCAATCTCCGGCATCCCATATGGTCCTCCCCCAAACACTGCCAGGAGTGATTCCTGAGTGCAGAGCCAGGAGTAACCCTTGAGCATCGCTGGGTGTGACACGATCATGATCACGACCATCCTGTTGTTCGTCGATTGCCTCGAGCAGACCCCAGTAACGTCTCCTTCGTCCTAGCCCTGAGATTTTTTAAAAAGTGCCATATTCAAGGTTCTTTCAGGGTTAGGAGAATGAGACCCATCACTGTGACTGGTATTTGGCATATTGGGTACGCCACGGGGAGTTTGCCAGACTCTGCCATGTGGGCAGGTTACATTCAGTAGCCTGCCAGTTTGTCCAAAGTAAGAATGAGATAATAAGATGTTGCGCGGACGCAAATGCCTACTGGAATATGGAGGATCTGGGTGGAGGATGCTCAGCCCCGATCCGAGCAGGCTTGGAGATCTCAGTCCCGGGACCCGCATGCCTTTGTTCCTCTGCCGGTACCTTCATGCGTGTGGAGAGTGGTCTCAGCATGGTGGTGGCTGGTTCTGGAGGTCTTCAGTTGCCGAAGCCCTGGTCGGGGTGGGGAGGGAAACTCAACCCACTCCCCTCGAAGGGGCTCTGGCGAGGGTGTGACACATTAAAAAAAAAAGAAGAAAGAATCTAGGGGTCAGCAGAATAACACAGCATGGAGAACACTTGCTCTGCATGCAGCTAATCCGGGTTCGATCCCCGCCATCCCATAGGGTCCTCTGAGCTGGCAAGGAGTGATTGCTGAGCTCAGAGCCAGGAGTAAGCTCTGAGCATCGCCAGGTGTGGCCCCAAATCAGAGCCAAACAAAAAGAGCGTAGCACTGTAACACTGTCCTCCTGTGGTTCATCGATTTGCTCGAGCGGGCCCAGTAACGTCTCCATTGTGAGACTTGTTGTTACTGTGTTTGGCATGTTGAATACGTCATGGGAAAAAAAAAACCACAACAACCCTCTAAGGAATGCAGGACCCAGCTGCTGCTCAGGCAACGGGGGGGAAGGGCGGATGTGTGTGGACACCGTGGCCGCCGCTGTGCTGTGGAACCGGCTCATGCCTGACCCGCCTGGCCTGTGTCCAGACGTGATTAGAGAACAGGCTTGTTTTGTCTTGCTCGCCTCGGTCACTGTGTGGCCTTGTCTGGTACAGAACTCTGCTATCACCATGCTCCGCAGATATTTCCTGGGTTCGCAAGGGCTGCCAAACTGTTTCCTAGCAGCGCCAGGGCCAGGGGGGTGGGGTGGGTCTCCAGGTCAGCTAACTTCTGCTCTGCCTCTAAATCAGTGGCCGGAAAGACAGCTCAGAAAGCCTCAGCACAGGCTTTCCAGGCGGGAGCCCCAGGTTCGATTCCCTGGCCCCTCATGCAAAGTCCTCCAGCCCCATTGGACGTGACCCCCGAGCACTGAATTGGGAGTAGTAGGCCCTGAGTACTGCTGGGTATGCCACCTCCAAAAAAAGTTAACCCTGGGGCTGGACCAATAGCACAGCGGGTAGGGTGTTTGCCTTGCACGCGGCCGACCCGGGTTCAATTCCCAGCATCCCATAGGGTCCCCCGAGCACCGCCAGGAGTAACTCCTGAGTGCAGAGCCAGGAGTAACCCCTGAGCATCGCCGGGTGTGACCCAAAAAGCAAAAAAAAAAAAAAAAAAACCAAACCCAAACCAAATGGCCAAGGTCAGCCCTATCCCATGGTGGTCGGTTGCAGTCTGCAAGGCCCTCAGTTGTGTCTTCGGTACCTTGAAGAGGGTCTGGCACTGGGCAGGCATCAGAGAAGTGGTTTTTTTTTTTAATTAAAAATTTTTTTAATAGTGAGACACCATGAGGTACAGTTACAGACTTACACATTTTTGTGCTTGGGTTTCAATTATACAATGATCAAATATCCATCCCTCCACCGGTGCCCATCTCCCACCACCACGGATCCCAGTATCCCTCCCACCCCCCCTTCCCCCCCATCCTACCTTGCCTCTGTGGCAGGGCATTCCCTTTTGTTCTCTCTCTCTTATTGGGTGTTGTGGTTTGCAAAAGAGGCAATGGGTGACAATCATGTTTGGTCTATAGTCTACTTTCAGCATGCTTCTCCCATCCTGGGAGGATCCTCCCAACACCTTTATTTGGTGCTCCCTTCTCTATCTGAGCTCCCTTTTCCCCTAGCACGTGTGGCTGGCCTCCAAGCCATGGAGTAAAATTCCTGGTACTAATCTTGGCCATTCTTAAGTGTTAGTCTCCTATTTTGTTACTTTATGTTCCCCAGATGAATGCAATCTTTCTATGTCTGTCCCTCTCTTTCTGACTCATTTAGCTTAACATGATACTTTCCATGTAGTACCACTTGTATGTAAATTTCATGACTTCATCTTTTCTGACAGCTACATAGTACTCCATTGTCTAGATGTACCAAAGTTTCTTTAACCAGTCATCTGTTCTTGGGCACTCAGGTTCTTTCCAGATTCTGGCTGTTGTAAAGAGTGCTGCAATAAACAGACAATTGCAGATGTCACTTCGACTATACTTTTTTGCCTCTCTGGGATATATTCCTAGGAGTGGTATTGCTGGGTCAAATGGGAGCTCAATTTCTAATTTTTTGAGACTCGTCCATCAGAGAAGTGTTTACCAGGCCATGGTGGGCAGCACTGATGGAAACAATGAAACCAGCATCTTCCCGTCCAGCCAGTCTCTTCCTCCTCTGTGCAAACCTTGAACTTGGCTGGGAATTTTGTTCATTTGCTGTTGCTTTTATTCTCAGGCTACACCCAGTGGTGCTCATCGTTTACCCCGTGCTTCGCACTTAGGGATCACTCCTGGCAGTGCTCATAGCATCTTCTGGAATGTTAGGGATTGAACCCAGGTTGGTTGCATGCAAGGCAAGCACCCTCCCTGCTGTACTGTACTTCTGGCCCCAGAATCTCTCTCTCTCTCTCTCTCTCTCTCTCTCTCTCTCTCTCTCTCTCTCTCTTTCTTTATGGGTCACACCTGGTGATGCTCAGGGATTTCCCTTTGCTCTGCGCTGTTGAATTACTCCTGGCGGTGCTCAGGGGACCATATGGGATGCTGGGAATCGAACCCGGGTCGGCCGCGTGCAAGGCAAACGCCCTACCCGCTGTGCTATCGCTCCAGCCCCAAGAATCTCATTTTATTTAAAGCTCAGGGAGGCAGACCGGGGCGGGGAGACAGAGGGTTGAGCTGCCAATAAACCAGAAAGATAGCTCAGAGGTCAGTATGTTGCATACACAAGGACTCAAGTTCGATCTTCACCCCCACATACTCCCACTCTAAGCATCCTGGTGGCTCTCAGCCCAAAGCCAGGTCTGAGCATTGAATTGACTGATTCATTTGTGCGGCTATGCTCAGGGACACCTGAACAATATTTGGTAATTCTCTAGCCCACAAATTACGGGGGGGGGAGATGCCTATGGGGAGGAAGGGGGAGGTTTTGGCCTCACCCAACTGTGCTCAGGGCTTAACTGAGCACTTAATCACTTAACTTCCCGTTAGTCGTCGATTTGCTCGAGCGGGCGCCAGTAACGTCTCCATTTGTCCCTGTCGCGTGCTAGTGTAGCCCAATGGCATCTGTTCGCTCTGGGAACACGAAGAGCCTCAAACCGATCGTTCATGATCTTGACGAAGAAGTCTGACCATCTGGTAGGTGGGCGGCCACGCGGTCTTTTGACATCCCGTGGAATCCAGTCGGTAACAGCTCTAGTCCAGCGGTCGTCTTTAAACGACCTGGTTCTATTTTTTTTAGAACCAGGGCTTATTTCTGGCTCTGTGCTCGGGATTCTCTCCTGGCGGGGCTCAAAGGACCTTATGGGATGCTGGGGATTGAACCTGGGTCAGACACGTGCAAGGCAAGTGTTCTAACCACTATGCTACTGTTTTGGCCTCATGGTCTCCAATTTTTTTTTTTTTTTGCTTTTTTGGGTCACACCCCGCGATGCTCAGGGCTTAATCTCGGTTTTGAGCTCAGGGATCACTCGTGGAGGTGCCTGGGGGGAACCATATGGGATGCCGGGAATTGAACCGGGGTCGTCCGCGTGTGAGGCAAATGCCCTCCCTGCTGTGCTATTGCTCCAGCCCCGGTCTCCAATATTTTTTTAAGTCAAAGTGGGGGCCAGAGTGATACTACAATGGGTAGGGTGTTGGCCTTGCACACAGACCTGGTTCGATCCTTGGCATCCCACACGGTCTCCTTGAGCACTGCCAGGCGTGATTCCTGAGCGCAGAACCAGGAATAATCATTGCCAGACGTGTCCCTGCCAGGTGAAAAAAGTCAAACCCAGGAGATTGGGCCTGAAGTTCATGTGGCTCAGTGAGGCTGAGAGATTGATTCTTGTCATGGTCAATGGGATCCCCAATGTTGCAAGAAGTGTGGCCGCCAGAGCACAGAAGTGATCCCCTGGGACTGGAACGATAGCACAGCGGGTAGGGCATTTGCCTTGCACGCGGCCGACCCGGGTTCGATTCCCAGCATCCCATATGGTTCCCTGAGCACCGCCAGGAGTCATTCCTGAGTGCAGAGCCAGGAGTAACCTCTGTGCATTACCTGGTGTGACGCCAAAAAAAAAAAAAGTGATCCCCTGGACATTGCAGTGTCAGAAGGGGAGTGTGAGGGGTGAGAAAAGGGAACCCGAAGTTTCCATATGACCCAGCAATTCAGGGGCCAGAGGTCAACCCCGAGGAACTGAAATCAAAGACAGGAAAGAGGATTTGGAGAATCTTATCCTTCGACACAGTAGCAGAAGATGGCAACAAAGTCTCTCCAGATCCCAGGCTGTTCTCCAGGGAGGAGGAAACCAATGCACAGCGAGTCCATGTGGAAGAACCTTGACACTGTCACTTTAAGGAAAAGCATTGCTGGCCGCCATTGATAAGAACTAATGGGGGGGGGGGGGAAGGAAGGGAACAGAGGTAGTACAGCAGGTTGGCGCTTGCCTTGCATGCAGCCGATCCAGGTTCGATTCCCCCTACTTCCTTTAAGGTCCCGTGAGCACTGCCAGGAGTAATTCCTGAGGGCAGAACTCTGGAGTATCCTCTGAGCATCTCAGATTGTGGGCCCAAACCAAAATGCAAACAAAAAGTGATGGGATGGTTCTTTCCTGTGTTTTGGCACCAAAAATAGGGGGGTGGGTGGGTGGAGCAATGTTTGCCTTGCACACAGTCAACCTGGATTTGATCCCTGGCATCCTACATAGTCTCCTGAGCACTGTCAAGGAGTAATCCCTGAGCATCGCTGGAGGTATGAACCAAAAAGGAAAAATAAAATGATGGGGGTAGTGATTGGAGAGATAGCACAGTGGGTAGGGCGTTTGCCTTGCACGCGGCCGACCCGGGTTCGATTCCCAGCATCCCATATGGTCCCCTGAGCACCGCCAGGAGTAACTCCTGAGTGCAGAGCCAGGAGTAACCCCTGTGCATCGCCAGGTGTGACCGAAAAAGCAAAAAAAAAAAAAAAAAGTCTCCTGGCTGCTTTGAAGGTAAAAGTCAACCAGCAACATGGGGGAGGGGGGCGGGAAGGATGGTTTTGCTTCTCCTTCCTGTCAGCAAAGTTAGATGAACCCTATTCACTGCACTGCAAGGCAGTTCCTGAAAAACAAAAGTGCCCCGAGTCCATGCTAAGTCATGCTGTGCCTGAGGGTTCAGAGTTTCACGGATGTTAGCAAATTTCAAAGCTCCCAAACAAAGCTGAGCACTGGGTTGCCTTTTCACCCAGTTTTTCTCTGCAGAGAGCCACGAGGGTTACCAGAATCCTATCTACTCTTCTAGACTGTTCCTTGGCACGTTTACAGCTTTCTGAAAAGGCCTTCCAAACTATGACAAGCAGCCTTACCGGCTCCAGAGAGATAAGCAGATGGAGAGGAGAGAAGAAAGAAAAAATATAAAAGAAAAAAATCCGGGGCAGAGGTTTGACTAATTCAGCGGGGTGGGTGCTTGCCAAGCTTATGGGTTTGACCCCTGGCATTTTATACGGTCTTCGGAGGACCACCAGGAGTGACCCCTGAGCAGAGAACCAGGAGTATCATCCGGTATAGCTAAAAACAAAAGTAAAGAAGATCAAAACGACAATGAAATATCATTTCACACCACAGAGACTGGCCCACATCCACAAGAAAAAAAGCAACCGGTGCTGGCTTGGATGTGGCGAGAAAGGGACCCTCCTTACTGCTGGTGGGAATGCCGACTGGTCCAACCCTTTTGGAAAACAGTATGGACGATTCTCAAAAAATTAGAATTTGATCTCCCATTTGACCCAGGAATACCACTCCTAGGAATATATCCCAGAGAGGCAAAAAAGTATAGTCGAAGTGACATCTGCACTTGTTTGTTCATTGCAGCACTGTTTACAATAGCCAGAATCTGGAAAAAACCTGAGTGCCTGAGAACAGATGACTGGTTAAAGAAACTTTGGTACATCTACACAATGGAGTACTATGTAGCTGTTAGAAAAGATGAAGTCATGAAATTTACATACAAGTGGTACTACATGGAAAGTATCATGTTAAGCGAAATGAGCCAGAAAGAGCGGGATAGACACAGAAAGATTGCATTCATCTGGGGAACATAAAGCAACAAAATGGGAGACTAACACCCAGGAGTGGCTGAGATTAGTACCAGGAATTTTGCTCCATGACGTGGAGGCCAGCCACAGGTGCTAGGGGAAAAGGAAGCTCAGATAGAGAAGAGAGCACCAAATAAAGGGTGTTGGGAGGATCCTCCCAGGATGGGAGATGCATGCTGAAAGTAGACTATAGACCAAACATGATTGTCACCCATTGCCTCTTTTGCAAACCACAACACCCAATAAGAGAGAGAGAACAAAAGGGAATGCCCTGCCACAGAGGCAAGGTAGGATGGGGGGGGATGGGGGTTGGGAGGGATGCTGGGACCCGCGATGGTGGAGGATGGGCGCTGGTGGAGGGATGGGTACTCGAGCATTGTATAACTGAAACCCAAGCACAAAAATTTGTAAGTCTATAACTGTACCTCATGGTGTTTCACTAATAAAAAAAAATAAAAATAAAAAAACATCATTGGAAAAATCTAAAAAAAAAAAAAAGAAAAATTGAAGACTAATATCTCAAAACTTGGTTCCTTATGGGGACCAGGCAGTGAAATGTAATTATAAATTAAAGCAAATGAAACTAAGATCTGATGGGACTTAATATGTGCAGCAATAAGTACAAATCAACTTGAAAAAAAAAAAAGTAAAGAAGAAATTTCTTCTGGAATCAGAACCGGGCGGAATATTACTTTGGAGGGTCATGAGTGAACTTGGCAAAGATATGTCTCTGGCCGGTCACAGTGCATCGGCCTCTCGGACTGAGGTTCCCAGGGGGACCAGTGAGGGTGCACGTGGCTACTGTGGGCAGTCGGGGACAAAGGGCTACAGGCGGGCGGTGGTGGCGGTGGGCGGGGAACAAAGCGGGAGTCCCCGAGCTTGCGCAGAGCGCCCGAGTGCGGGAGGCGGTGCCGGCCACGCCCCCTTCAGGCCACGCCCCTTCCAAAAGCCACGCCCACGCAGACCCCGCCCCGGCAGGCTCCGCCCGGCGTGCCACGTCACCGTGACGTCACGGCGGAGTTGCCATGGCGGCGCTGAGCGACCTGGCGTCGGCGCTGGAGTCGTATAGGGGTCGGGACCGCCTGGTGAGGCTGGGGCGGAGCGCGGCCGCAGGTCCCAGAGTTGGGCCCCCCGCTGAGTGAGCGGGAAACTGAGTCTGGAGAGGGGGGCGGGCTCGCTCAGGCTGCCCCCCCCGCCGCCAAGGTCGCCGGCCCAGCCCTGCCCCCTAGCGGTCGGCCGCGGAGGCGCTTCCGATTTGCACCGCGCACTTGGGCCGGGAATCTTTTTGCTCGGGTCCGGGGACCTTGGTGGGGTCCGACCCGACCGTGGAAGCCGGTGGATTGTTGCAAACAAAAATGCAACTCGGAGGATTTAGGGTCAGCCGGTGGCTGGAGAGCGAGCGTGCCGCCAGATCGCCAGTAACTGGGCTTGTAGGTGGTCGTTGAGTTCCAGGCAGCTCACCAGGTTGGACGTGCCTAAGATCAACCCGTTCCGTGTTCGGGGCACTTAGGATCCGACTCCACCAAGTTTAGACACGTCGGGGGTTCCGACGTCCGTAGTGGCTCACTTTTCTTTCTTTTTTTTTTTTGCTTTTTTTTGGGGGGTCACACCCCGCGATGCACAGGGGTCACTCCTGGCTCTGCGCTCAGGAATTACCCCTGGCGGTGCTCAGGGGACCCTATGGGATGCTGGGGATTGAACCCGGGTCGGCCGCGTGCAAGGCAAACGCCCTACCCGCTGTGCTATTGCTCCAGCCACCCCCCCTTTTTTTTTTTTTTTTTGCTTTTTGGGTCACGCCCAGCAATGCTCAGGGGTTCCTCCTGGCTCTGCACTCAGGAATCACTCCTGGCCACTCCTGGCGGTGCTCAGGGGACCATATGGGATGCTGGGGATCGAACCCGGGTCGGCCGCGTGCAAGGCAAACGCCCTACCCGCTGTGCTATTGCTCCAGCCCCAGTGGCTCACTTTTTCATACTGGTGGACCAGTGCAAATCGGAGAAGTAGTTCTCGGACGGAAAGAGCAGTTTATTCCTGCTCTTTAACCATTGTCAAAGAATATTTTGGTTTTTCTGTGGTCACGTGATCCGGGCGTGCCTCTTGATCAGCAAAAAATGTCTTTTTTTTTCCTTGGATGACCCCTGTCCACCCACCCAGCGCTACAGACATGGGCTGAAAACCACGGGCGCTGAGGGGTGGGGGTGGAACCCTGACAGTCCTCAGTACCTGGGTTCACCTGAGTAATCTCTTTTTTTTTGTGGGGGAAGGGAGGCTACATCTGGGGATACTCAGGGCTTACTCTTGGTTCTGGGTTCAGGGATCAATCCTCGTGGTGCTCGGGGATCCAATGGGATGCCGGGGATCGAACCCTGTGTGCAAGGCAAACGCCCTACCTGCAATCTTTTTTTTTTTTTTTTTGCTTTTTGGGTCACACCTGGCTATGCACAGGGGTCACTCCTGGCTCTGCAGTCAGGAGTTACTCCTGGCGGTGCTCAGGGGACCACATGGGATGCTGGGAATCGAACCCGGGTCGGCCGCGTGCAAGGCAAACGCCCTACCCGCTGTGCTATCCCTCCAGCCCCCTTACCTGCAATCTTATTGCTTCAGCCAAGGATGTTTAGATTCTAACCCAATCATTCCCTCTTTCATTTTTGGGGCGGCCACACCCTGCGGTGCTCAGGGTTTCCTCCCTGTTCTGAGCTCAGCGATCGCTCCTGGTAGTGCTCGAGGGGCCCCTGTAGGGTGCTGGGGATTACAACGGGGCCGGCCAGGGACTAGAGAGTACCGGTGTAAAAGCACTTCCCTTGCACATAGCCAACCCCATTTTATTTATTTACTTATTTATTGCTTTTTGGGTCACCCCCGGCATTTCACAGGTGTTACTCCTGGTTCATGCACTCAGGAATTACCCCTGGCAGTGCTCAGGGGACCCTATGGGATGCTGGGAATCGAACCGGGTCGGCTGCATGCAAGGCAAACGCCCTCCCCGCTGTGCTGTCGCTCCAGCCCCACCAACTCCATTTTAATCCTGGCACTGCATCGGGTCTCCTACTGCTTGAAACTTCCTTTGGGGGGCCACACCGGTGGTACCCAGGGTTTACTCCTGACTCTGCACTCAGGGATCACTCCTGGAGATGCTTGGGGGACACTATGGGGTGCCAGGGATTGAATCCAGGTCAGCCACCTGCAAGGCAAACACCCTCCCTGCTGTACTATCGCTCTGGTCCCAGGCCCCTCACTTTTTTGGATCTATGATCTGATGTTGGGGTGAGGGTGGGGGAGAGTCTAGCCAACCGGCATCCCTTTAGGGGTGGCAGTGGGGATGGTTAGGGGAGGTTGCCTCAGAACAGAGGCCAGGCCGTGCTGACTGCCTCCTCTCCCCACACAGATCCGAACACTGGGATACGGCTGCCAGCTGGTGGGCGGGGTCCTGGTGGAACAAGGTCCGGCCAGGTCAGAATTGGGGACCCGCCTGCTGGCGCTGGCCTCCCAGCTCAGCCACTGCAGGACCGTGCTGCGACTCTTTGATGACCTGGCCATGTTTGTCTACACTAAGCAGTATGGCCTGGGACCCAAGGTAATGAGGCTTGGGGCTGTGGTGTGTATGGGGGGGCAGGGGAGGGGACCCCGAATTATGGCTTCTCTGGACTTCTTTCCGGGTAATTGTGTGAGATGTTTGGGGTTAAAAGTCTCTCTACTTTGGCCGGAGAGTTCGGACAGTGGGGAACCCAGTGTTTTTGTTTCTTTCTTTTTTTTTTTTCCTTTTTGGATCACACCCAGCAATGCACAGGGGTTACTGCTGGCTCTGTGCTCAGGAATTACCCCTGGCAGTGCTCAGGGTACCATATGGAATGCTGGGAATCGAACCTGAGTTGACCGCGTGCAAGGCAAATGCCCTACCCGCTGTGCTATCGCTCCAGCCCTGACATCTGAATATTAACGCCCACTGATTCCTGAGCAATATATATATATATATTTAATTTTTTTTGCTTTTTGGGTCACATCCTGCGATGCACAGGAGTTACTCCTGGGTCTGCACTCAGGAATTACCCCTGGCAGTGCTCAGGGGACCCTATGGGATGCTGGGAATCGAACCTGGGTCGGCCGCATGCAAGGCAAATGCCCTACCCACTGTGCTATCGCTCCAGCCCCCTGACCCAGATTTGATTCCTGCCACCATATGGGGTCTACCAAACCTGCCAAGAATGAACCCTGAGGACCTGAGTTGTGCCCCCATCCCCCCCCAAAAAATACCCCTAAAACAAAAGGAACTGTACCGGAGTCAGGAAGGAGGAAGGAGGATGAGGAAGGAGGAAGGAAGCAGTGAAGGGAGTGTGACTAGGCAAGGAGGAAAAGACAAGGCTGGAGATTGGGCAAGCCTGGCAGCCTCCAGGGGGCAGCTGGTGTGGAAATGCAGCCTCGGGGTCTGGCCCAAGCAGCCTCCTCAGACCTTACGCAGGGGGATTCAGACTCGAGTTCAAAACTCAGACCTGGGAGGAGGTGGTTGTGCCCCTTTTGGGGGATGGTCACTGTGTCCCAGTTTGGGGGAGTTGCATGAAGCCAGCCTCATGAGGCAGCCGCGGGGTTCCTACCCCAGAGCTGTGTGTGTGGGGTCCCTTTGTACTTTGGTGGGGGGAACTGCATGAAAGCAGAAATCAGGTTTTCCAAGAGCAGGGCCTGACTGCTGGGCCCCCGGGCTAACCTGGGGGTGCTGTCCACAGGAAGAGGACACCTTTGTCCGCTGCGTCTCGGTGCTGGGCAACCTGGCTGACCAGCTCTACTACCCCTGTGAGCACGTGGCCTGGGCTGCCGACGCCAAAATCCTGCACCTACGCTCGACCCGATGGTGGACACTGAGCACGGCTTTCTGGGCCCTCTCCCTGCTCCTGGGCATTGTCAGGTAAGCGTGGCAGACGGGGTGTGGGGAGCCCGCAGGCTGGAGGCAAGAGTGAGGCTGCCCCATCCATCCCCCATGCCCCGGTCTGCTGGGGCCATTGGACCAGTCTGCCACCCCATTCACTGTCCCAGACTGAGCGGCCAGGTTTTTCAGAGGCTGGGCCGGGGCTCTGGTGGGACATTCCAGATATTAAGTCAGCCAGGGTCCACACAGGGTCCGCCAGGCCAGGAGAATGGGACAGCTCTGCCAGGAGCCAAGCGGGCATGCCAGCAGCAGGTGGCAGAGGTGCCCCCAACCCTCGCCCGCCCCTCCCGCCTCCGTGTGAATTGCAGGTCTCTGTGGGTGATGCAGAAGCTGAGGCAGAAGCTGAGGAGTCCCTCGGCAGCGTTCACGAGGTATGTCGTTTGGGTCCAGCCTGGGGACACCTTGGTGGTCATGTGTCAAGAAGGTGCCCAGGACCTGCCCTGTGCCCACCCAGAATCTGGGGGCAGTAGAAATGGGGGAACAGACTTGTTTAGACCTGCAGACAAGCATGCAACCAAGCCGGGACTGCTGGACTCAGCCTTCAAGGCCCTGTCCACAGGGAGGAGCTAGGGTGTGACCACGCCCACCGGGAGGAGCCACGCCATAGGTCACGCCCACAAGGGTAGTCAGTTCTGTAGCTGTACCCACAAGAGCTAGGGCTGTGGCCACGCCCACAGGGAGGAGCTAGTTTGATGCCACACCCACAGGGAGGAGTCAGGGGCGTGGTCACACCCTTGGGGGAGGAGTCAGGGTGTGCCTACACTCGCGGGGGAGGGGCAGGGCACGGCCACGCCCACAGGAAGGAGCCAGGTAAGCAGCCACACCCACCAGGAGGAGTCAGGGATGTGGTTCCATTCGTGGGGGAGGAGTCAGGGGCGTGATCACACTCTTGGGGGAGGAGTCAGGGTGTGCCTACACTCTTGGGGGAGGGGGAGGGCACGGCCTCGCCCACAGGAAGGAGCCAGGTAAGCAGCCACACCCACCAGGAGCGGGGTGTGTGGCCACACCCGCGGGGGAGGAGTCAGGGGCGTGGCCACGCTCTTGGGGGAGGAGTCAGGGTGTGCCTACACTCGCGGGAGAGAGGCAGGGCACGGCCACGCCCACAGGAAGGAGCCAGGTAAGCAGCCACACCCACCAGGAGCGGGGGTGTGGCCACACCCGCGGGGGAGGAGTCAGGGGCGTGGCCACGCTCTTGGGGGAGGAGTCAGGGTGTGCCTACACTCGCGGGGGAGAGGCAGGGCACGGCCACGCCCACAGGAAGGAGCCAGGTAAGCAGCCACACCCACCAGAAGCGGGGGGTGTGGCCACACCCGCGGGGAGGAGTCAGGGGCGTGGCCACGCTCTTGGGGGAGGAGCAGGGTGTGCCTACACTCGCGGGGGAGGGGCAGGGCACGGCCACGCCCACAGGAAGGAGCCAGGTAAGCAGCCACACCCACCAGGAGGAGTCAGGGATGTGGTTCCATTCGTGGGGGAGGAGTCAGGGCGTGGCTGCGCCCACAGGGAGAAGCTAGGTCAGTGGCTACACCCACGGAGGAGCCAGGCGTGGCCACATCCGCGGGGAGGAGTCAGGGGCGTGGTCACACTCTTGGGGGAGGAGTCAGGGTGTGCCTACACTCGCTGGGGAGGGGCAGGGCACGGCCACGCCCACAGGAAGGAGCCAGGTAAGCAGCCACACCCACCAGGAGCGGGGGGTGTTGCCACACCCGCGGGGGAGGAGTCAGAGGCGTGGCCACGCTCTTGGGGGAGGAGTCAGGGTGTGCCTACACTCGCGGGGGAGAGGCAGGGCACGGCCACGCCCACAGGAAGGAGCCAGGTAAGCAGCCACACCCACCAGGAGCGGGGGTGTGGCTACCTTCGTGGGGGAGGAGTCAGGGCGTGGCCGCGCCCACAGGGAGGAGCTAGGTCAGCGGCCACACCCACAGGGGGAGCCAGGCGTGGCCACACCCGCGGGGGAGGAGTCAGGGATGTGGCCACGCCCACAGGGAAAGTCTATTAGGGTAATGGACACTGCTCACCGAGCAGCCCAGCTCCTCCCGGTTGGCCGGCCGCCTCCAGGGCGTCGTGGGGCGGAGGGGCACACTTGAGGGTTTCCACGACCAGGCCTCCCTGTGGTGGGGTGTGCAGGGCACCCCTCGCAGGCCTTCCCTCTGCAGCGTCCCCTCTGCCCCGCAGCCGGCTGCCCCGGAGCAAGCGGCGGACGCCCGAGACGCAGCTGCGCGCGGAGCTCCTGGCGCTGGTCAGCAACCTGGCCGACCTGGCCAACGCCGTGCACTGGCTGCCGCCCGGTGTCCTGTGGGCCGGCCGCTTCCCGCCCTGGCTGGTGGGCCTCCTGGGCACCGTCTCCTCCCTCCTCAGCGTGTACCAGGCGGTTCGGGCGGGGGCCCAGGCTGAGACCGTCACCCCCTGAGCCGGCCACGGAAGGAGCGGCCGGATTAGCCCCAACAGTGGGACCCTATCCCCCAGGCAGCAATCACTGGGGCAGGGGCTGTAATTAAGCAAATCAAAGCAGGTGCGGGGTGAGAATGCAGAGTGGCCTGGACCCAGCCCAGCAAGGCGTCGGGGCGTGGCTCCCACCCGGTGCTGGGGAGCAGGTCCTTTCTGGCAACCCCCCTGTGGGGAAGCTCCTCAGGGCTAGTGGGGCTGGACCCGAGACTGGAGAGCCGAGGGACCCGTGTGCGCAGCGCAGACGGCCGGGCCGGGCATCTGGGCACTGTTGAATCCTTAGAGCCGGGAGCGGACAATCATTAAAATTTCGTGGTGCTGGTGTAGGCCGGTCTGAGGTTATTCCACCGCGGGCGCAGGAGGGCACACTCCCCCCCGGGTCTGTGCCCTCGTGGGCTTTTATTGGGGTGTGTGCTTTCTTGGCCAGTGCTCAGGAATCAACTCCTGGCCATGCTGGGGCCTGAACCTTAGCTGCGTGTAAGCTAAGAACCTGCACTCCCAACCCCTTGGACCCTGCTCTCTCTGGCCCTCCCCTGGTCTTTTTTGGATTTGGGGGCCCTACCCTGCAGTGCTCCAAGGCTCTTCCCAGCTCTCTGGCACTGTTCCCCGAGGTCACGGATGGAAGGCAGCTGGCATTCAACTCCGTCCCAAAGCTGATTCTGGAGGGGGGGCTGGAGTGATAGCACAGCGGGTAGTGTGTTTGCCTTGCACGCAGCCGACCCGGGTTCGATTCCCAGCATCCCATATGGTCCCCCGAGCACTGCTAGGAGTAATTCCTCAGTGCAGAGCCAGGAGTAACCCCTGAGCATCGCCGGGTGTGACCCAAAAAGCAAAAACAAATAAACAAAGCTGATTCTGGGTGATCACTGTCTGGGTTTCCACTGGGGGCGTTTCCGTGCGATCTCCTGGCAGATCTGACTCCTGTGCTCACAATCCCTCTGCACTCCGCTACCTAGCCACTGGCAAGCGCCCCCCACCCCCACCCCCCGCTCTGATGCTTGCAGGAGAGGGGTGGCCCCATCCTTGCTTGGAGGCAGACCTCAAGCCTCTCCCCACAGCCCAGCGGCAGCTGTGCAGGGGCTGACATCCAGGCCTCAAATTCCCGTTGCAGCAGATTGTACTGAGGAAGTGCTGAAACCTCCTTGGGATTCCCCGTCTGAGCCTGTTCCAGTACGACACGCTGCCCTGGGCAGGGGAGGGGAGGAGGACCCAGCAAAGAAACCAAACCAACCCTGTAAGCACGTGACACAGACTCATTGGGGCCCCATCCTGGGCACTGCAGAATCAAGCCAGCAGCTCCTCTGCGCCTTCTTTATTGCTACAATCACGGCAGTCCCGAGAGTGCCCGCAGTGAGATGCCACCATCACCGAGTGGAAGAATCGGGGGGGGGTGCGGGAACGAGCACAGTGGATGGGGGTGAAGGTCCGCGGAGCCCCATGGGGACAGGAGCGTTCGTTCCACTGCTGCCCCCTTCGAGGAAAATGGGGCTCAGCTCGGAGTGACCTTGGGGCCCAGCTGAGGACCCCCATGCAGGACGCCATCTGATGGCGTCATGGCGTCACAGCAGTTCAGCTAGGGGCATGGGAAGCAGGAGGGGTGGCCGTGAGGCCCCACCCGCCAGGAGTCTGGAATGTTCTTCATGAGGGAACTGAGTTCAAAAGTCCACTCAACTAAAGTGCTCCCACGGGCCTCCGTCCTGTCAACGCAGACATGGCACAGGGCACAGGGGTACGCTCTGAGCCCCTCAAGGGACTGTGGACCCCACAGGTAACATCAGAGATGGGGGGGTGCTTGGAGGGAGCAGGGAGGGGTTCTAAGAGAGACTGAGGAGGGGACCAAGGGCTGCCAAGCCACTTTCTGTGCCTGGGACTTTGTCCCTATATCCGATGGCCCCTGTCCCGACTCCTTGCTCCACGTTGAAGGTCCGGGTTCCCTAGAGGGAGTTTGACAGGGGGCAGGCGGCGTGTCCTCTCCTCCCCTGGCCAGTATCCTGGATCCAGTCCGTTCCACGCTCCATCATGGATCTGACATCCCCACTCAGATCTGCCCCGGGACATTTGTCGTTGCCCCAGCCTTGGGCAAAGCACCCAGCTCATTGGGGGGCGGACGGGGGGGTCCCTAAGGGCCCTTGGCTTTAGCTGGGGGTGCCTTTGGGTGTGCGCATGCCCACCTGGTGTGCTCATGGCCACGGGGGTCCACCGAGGTGACATACCCACTACCCACAGGAGTAGCCAGCAGGTGCCCAGAACACAGGGCCACCCACACTGGGCCGTCTGTGCCAGGACCCTCCCTGGGGTTCGTTCCTACTTCCGCCCAGTTTTGTGAGCAGGCCCGAAGGACCCTCCCCACCCCCCTCCAGCACCCCCCTCAGCTGTGGAGCCCTCGCTCTGGAGCTGCCGCCTCCAACCTCACGGAAGCCTGTACTGGGGGCCCCCCAGCGTCTGCATCTGTGGGGGTGCATGCATCTCCCCAGCTAACAGGGATCTTGGCATACAGAGAAGCTCTTCGGGCGAGCTCTGGTGCAACCAACCTTCCACTCGGAACGTTCCTTTCGTAGGAAGGGAAGCGGGTTGGGAAGTCACCAGGCACCGCTGCCACGGTTAGGATGCAGCCCGAAACCCCAGGGGCTCCCTGGTGGGCGGCACCGGGCCCGGGGCGGGGGCGGGGTCCCTGCAGGCCACGCCCCCCTCAGAAGAAGATGACGTCGTCTTCCCTGCCGCCTTCCTCCTTGTCCAGCTGCGGGGCCGGCGGCCTTGGGGACCGGGGCACGGGCGGCAAGGGTGGGGTTCCCGCTTTGAAGATGCACTCGGGGGTCAGGTCGGCGGGGCTGGGGCTGGGAGCTGGGAGGCCGGGGTCTGGAAGAGAGAAGGGCGGAGGGGGATGGGCAGGTGGGGTGGTGTTGGTGGCGGGAGGGGGAGGCTCGCAGGGACACCCCGTTGCCAGGGCTCGGGGGACAGACGCTGGGCTCACCTGGGGGCAGCGCGGGGCCCTTGCTGCCCGGCAGGACGGGGCTCAGAGAGCGGCGGTTCCGCGCGGCGCCCTCCTCCTTGCCTATGAACTTGGTAAGTAGCAGCTGCTGCTGCTTCAGGTCCTGGGAGGCTGGGGTGGGGGAGAAGGAGCGGCTTCGGGGCGGGGTCTCTGCAGAATCGCCCACCCATACCCCTAAAGTCAGGCCCAGGATGCAGAGAGGCAGCCTCAGGGGAGGGGTCCCAGATGTGGGCGGGGCATCAGCGCGGGGCCTCGGGCTCGCACTAACCGGCCACCTCCACTAGGGGGCGCGCCAGGCCCTTCCCTTCTCCATCACCCGGACACCCGCACTGTCCCTCACTCAGGGATGCACCCGGCGGGCGGGGCGGATCTGAGCTGCCCTCACCTGAGCTCTCCCAGCGCTGGGTGCCCCGGCTCTTGCCCTTGTCCTTGCCCCCCTTGGTGCAGGCGGCCAGCTTGGTGGGGATCTGCTGCTGCACGGCCGCCTGCCTCTGGATCTGGTTGGTGGTGCTCAGCAACTGGATGGGCACGTCACTCTTGGCAGGGGCGCTGTCCCGGCGGGCCACCTCGGGGCGCTCGGCATACTCGGAGGAGCCGGCGGCCGACAGCAGCACCAGGCTCATCCGGGGCCCGGGGGCTTTGGCCAGCGCTGGGGGCCCTTCCGGTCCTTCCCCGTTAAAGCTGGAGGGCTGTGCCTACGGAGGAGAAACAGAGCCCAGATGGGGATTGCCGCTGGCAGCTGGCCCTTGGGGGACCCCCGATGCGGAGCCTCTATGCCCTGACGGAGTGCTAAGGGCCAAGTGCCAGCCCTGGGTCTAGCTCCTGTGTGCCTGGGGGGCATGGAGCCCCTTGTCCAGATCCTGATCTCCTGGATCACACACCCATAGTTGCAGTCACACTCACCGACACACACAGGCTTTTCTGGGGGGATGCTCAGGACTTACTCTTTTTTGGGGGGGTCACACCCGGTGATGCACAGAGGTTACTCCTGGCTCTGCTCAGGGGACCAGATGGGATGCTGGGAATCGAACCCGGGTCGGCCAAGTGCAAGGCAAACGCCCTACACGCTGTGCTATCTCTCCAGCCCGTCTGGACTTACTCTTTTTTTTTTTTTTTTTTGCTTTTTGGGTCACACCCGGCAATGCACAGGAGTTACTCCTGGTTCATGCACTCAGGAGTTACTCCTGGCGGTGCTCAGGGGACCAGATGGGATGCTGGGAATCGAACCTGGGTCAGCCGTGTGCAAGGCAAACGCCATGCCCCACTGTGCTATTGCTCCAGCCCCTCAGGACTTCCTCTTGGCCCTATGCTCAGGGACCACCCAGAGGACACTATGGGGTGACGGGGGTCAAACCGGGCCAGCTGTGTGCCTCACCTGGTGTGCTATTACTCCAGGGCCCCTCCCTGGAACCCTCATCTCACAGCTGTGCACGTCCACAGAGGCACCCAGAATCTCCCGCCGCCTAATCACCTCTGCAAGCGAGTCGGGCGGCAGCGCCCCGGGCGCCGTGTTCTGTTTCTTGAGTCGTCCCAGCAGCTCGACCTTCTTCTGCTCGCGCTCCACAGCGCGCTGGGCCTGCAGCAGCCGCTCCAGGTCCTGCTGGTAGGCCTGGCGCTGCTGCTCCAGCTCCTCGCGCTGGCGGCTCAGCGTCTCCTGCAGCTGCCGCGCCTCCAGCTCGCGCTGCTCCAGCCGCGCGGCCGCCTGCTCCAGCTCCTGCTGCTGCCGCGTGCGCTCGCGCTCCCAGCGCTGCTGCTCCTGGCGCAGCTGGCCCTGCAGCTTCTGCACGCCCGCCAGCTCCTCCCGCTGCTTCTCGAAGTTGCGCTGCCGCTCCTGCTCCAGCAGCAGGTTCCCGCGCGTCGACTGCACCCGCATCAGCCGCTCGTGCTCCGCGATGGTGCTCCGCTGCCGCTCCACCAAGCTGTCCTGCTGGGCGATGACGGCCTGGCCCGCAGAAGGGGGCGCCTCGGGTCAGGGGGCGGGGCTCGGCTTCGGCCACGCCCCACCCACTGCCAAGCCACGCCCTAGAGGGAGAGGCCACACCCAGAGGGGGCGGGGCTCAGCTTCAGCCGCGCCCCACCACTGCAAGCCACGCCCTAGAGGGAGAGGCCACACCCACTGTGGCCACGCCCCCGCCACGCCTGGAGGGGTGCCTCGGGTCAGGGGGCGGGGCTCAGCCTCAGCCGCGCCCCACCCAGGCCAAGCCACGCCCTAGAGGAAGAGGCCACACCCACTGTGGCCACGCCCCCGCCACACCACACCTGGAGGGGGCGCCTCGGGTTAGGGGTCGGGGCTTGGCTTCGGCCACGCCCCACCCACTGCCAAGCCACGCCCTAGAGGAAGAGGCCACACCCACTGTGGCCACGCCCCCGCCACACCTGGAAGGGCATCTCAGGTGGGGGGGGCTTGGCTTCAGCCGTGCCCCACCCACTGCCAAGCCACGTCCTAGAGGAAGAGGCCACACCCAGAGGGGGCGGGGCTCAGCTTCAGCCGCGCCCCACCACTGCAAGCCACGCCCTTGAGGGAGAGGCCACGCCCCCGCCACACCTGGAGGGGTGCCTCGGGTCAGGGGGCGGGGCTCAGCTTCAGCCGCGCCCCACCCAGGCCAAGCCACGCCCTAGAGGAAGAGGCCACACCCACTGTGGCCACGCCCCCGCCACACCACACCTGGAGGGGACGCCTCGGGTTAGGGGTCGGGGCTTGGCTTCAGCCGCGCCCTACCCACGGCCAAACCACGCCCTAGAGGAAGAGGCCACACCCACTGTGGCCACACCCCCGCCACACCTGGAAGGGCATCTCAGGTCAGGGGGCGGGGCTTGGCTTCAGCCGTGCCCCACCCACTGCCAAGCCACGCCCTAGAGGAAGAGGCCACAACACTGTGGCCACGCCCCCCGCCACACCTGTAGGCTCAGCAGCAGCTGGGAGAGCGTCTGGATTTTTCGGACCAGCTGCAAGGGAGAGGACAGGAAAAGGTTAGAGACGCTGCCTGGGCTCTCTCGCTCGTGAGGGGGCCTCCCACCAGGGTGTACCCAGCAGCCGTGGGGGTGATCCAGCCCGGTCCCTACCTCGGACTCCAGGATGGTGGGTGGGGTGGGGCCACACTCGATGTCCGGCGGCTGGCCCTGCGGAGACAGCAGTGACACCGTCCAGAGGGTCTCAGGTGCGACCCGGAGGGGTGGGGGTGAGGCTAGGGGGTAGGTCCTGGCTCCCCCACCCCAGGCTCCAGTGATGGAGAGGGTCGTCTGAGCTGTGGAGCTTGGGCATGGCTTGGGGGGCAGAGCCTTGGACCCCCCAACTCAGTCTTGGGTTGTGGGGGTGGGGACGACGCAGGTGGAATCGGAGGGTGTGAAAACACGGAAGTGTGCAAATGGCGAGGTCTGGACCGGGATGCCCACCCCACTCCTGTTCTGTGGCTTTCCCATCGAGACTATGGGGTCCCTCCCCCTACATACCTCTGGTGCTGCCTCCTCCAGGACCCCCACAGTGTCGCTGAGCTTCCGCTCAGGGCTAGAGGGGGACCCTGGCCAGTCTCGGGGCTTGGGGTCATTGCTGTAGATCTTCTTCTTGAAACTGCCACCTGGAAGGCAACCCCCAGAGCTGGAGCATGAGGGGCAGTGACACCCCCCCCCCCCCCGAAAGTCTGCAACAGCCCTGGAAGATGGAGGCTGGCACTCGGAGCACCCTGACTTTCTTTTCCTGTTCTAGGGCCACACCAAAGGTGCTCAGCGCTGAGTCCTGGCACTCAGGGATCACTTCTGATACAGACAGGGGGACCCTACGGGATGCTGGGGACGGAACCCAAATCATCTGCGTGCAAAGCAAGTCCCCTTCCCTCTGCCCTATCCCTCCAGACCCATAACATCCTTGTCGGAAAAGACCAGCTGAGTTCAGGGCTTCTCTTCTAGAGATTTCTCGGGGAGCGGTAGCAGAAATGAGGGAATGGCAGGAAAGGGCGTGGTCCAGGAGCCCACACAGACCCCAAGAACGTTGACCCTGGGGTGTCCACTCACGGGTGGCGCTGGGGCTGCTGGCACTATCGTAGCCCCCGAAGGTCTCCGCCCGCCGGGGCAGAGCCGCCAAGCCACTGCTATCCTCCGTCTGCCCGTTGGCACTGGCCAGCTGCCGGCGGCAGATCAGACTCTGGATGTCATCAACTGCGGGAGGAGATGCAGGGGGCCTGGTCATCCAACAGGGCGAGGACCATGGCAGGTGTAACAGATGTCAAAAGCAAGGTGTGGGGAGAAGTTGTGGGAGGGCAGCCTGGGGGGAAGGGCAGGACACACACACACACACACACACACACACACACACACACACACACACAGAGTTCTCCTTAGGGCGTGAGAACTGGGTGTGACTGTAGGTGGGGTCAGCCTCACATCCTGGGGCCAGCAAAATGCCTCACACACAGCAGGCACTAGGGGGCGCTGCTAGTTTGATGTGACAGGAGGTACCTAACTGCAAGGGCACGTTGCAGGCACCAGAAGGCGCTAGTTGGGCGTGAGAGGGGGAGCTAAGGGTAAGGACACGTTGCAGACACTAGGGGCGCTGTTTGGATGCGAGAGGAGGCGCTAAGTGTAAAGACATGTTGCAGGCACTAGGGGCGCTAAGTGTAAAGACACGTTGCAGGCACTAGGGGCGCTGTTTGGATGTGAGAAGAGACGCCAAGTGTAAGGACACGTTGCAGGCACTAGGGGCGCTATTTGGATGCGAGAGGGGGCGCTAAGTGTAAGGACACGTTGCAGGCACCAGGGGCGCTGTTTGGATGCGAGAGGAGGCGCTAAGTGTAAGGACACGTTGCAGACACCAGGGGCGCTGTTTGGATGCGAGAGGAGGCGCTAAGTGTAATGACACGTTGCAGGCACTAGGGGCGCTGTTTGGATGCGAGAGGGGGCGCTAAGTGTAAGGACACGTTGCAGGCACCAGGGGCGCTGTTTGGATGCGAGAGAGGGCGCTAAGTGTAAGGACACGTTGCAGGCACCAGGGGCGCTGTTTGGATGCGAGAGGAGGCGCTAAGTGTAAGGACACGTTGCAGGCACCAGGGGCGCTGTTTGGATGCGAGAGGGGGCGCTAAGTGTAAGGACACGATGCAGGCACTAGGGGCGCTGTTTGGATGCGAGAGGGGGCGCTAAGTGTAAGGACACGTTGCAGGCACTAGGGGCGCTGTTTGGATGCGAGAGGGGGTGCTAAGTGTAATGACACGTTGCAGGCACTAGGGGCGCTGTTTGGATGCGAGAGGAGGCGCTAAGTGTAAGGACACGTTGCAGGCACTAGGGGCGCTGTTTGGATGCGAGAGGAGGCGCTAAGTGTAAGGACACGATGCAGGCACTAGGGGCGCTGTTTGGATGCGAGAGGGGGTGCTAAGTGTAAGGACACGTTGCAGGCACTAGGGGCGCTGTTTGGATGCGAGAGGAGGCGCTAAGTGTAAGGACACGTTGCAGGCACTAGGGGCGCTGTTTGGATGCGAGAGGAGGCGCTAAGTGTAAGGACACGTTGCAGGCACTAGGGGCGCTGTCTGGATGAGAGAGGAGGCGCTAAGTTTAAGGACACGTTGCAGGCACTAGGGGCGCTGTTTGGATGCGAGAGGAGGTGCTAAGTGTAAGGATACGTTGCAGGCACTAGGGGCGCTGTCTGGATGCGAGAGGGGGCGCTAAGTTTAAGGACACGTTGCAGGCACTAGGGGCGCTGTTTGGATGCGAGAGGAGGCGCTAAGTGTAAGGACACGTTGCAGGCACTAGGGGCGCTGTTTGGATGCGAGAGGAGGCGCTAAGTGTAAGGATACGTTGCAGGCACTAGGGGCGCTGTTTGGATGCGAGAGGGGGCGCTAAGTGTAAGGACACGTTGCAGGCACTAGGGGCGCTGTTTGGATGCGAGAGGAGGCGCTAAGTGTGAGGACACGTTGCAGGCACTAGAGGCGCTGTTTGGATGCGAGAGGAGGCGCTAAGTGTAAGGACACGTTGCAGGCACTAGGGGCGTTGTCTGGATGCGGGAGGAGGCGCTAAGTGTAATGACATGTTGCAGGCACTAGGGGCGCTGTTTGGATGCGAGAGGAGGCGCTAAGTGTAAGGACACGTTGCTGGCACTAGGGGCGCTGTTTGGATGCGAGAGGGGGCGCTAAGTGTAAGGACACGTTGCAGGCACTAGGGGCGCTGTTTGGATGCGAGAGGGGGCGCTAAGTGTAAGGACACGTTGCAGACACTAGGGGCGCTGTTTGGATGCGAGGAGGCGCTAAGTTTAAGGACACGTTGCAGGCACTAGGGGCGCTGTTTGGATGCGAGAGGAGGTGCTCAGTTCTGCAAGGATACATTACAGGTACTAGGGGGCGCTAGTTCCACATGAGAAAAGGTGCTGTCACTGTGTTAAGGGCTTTGCACAGATTCAGGGCTCTGCTATGGTGGCAGTACGCCCCATCTCAGAGCAAGGCAGACAGAACTGGGGTGCAGGCAAGAGGGGGGAAGAGACAGTGGTAGGTGCCTGATGGGCAGACTCACTCTCACTCATGGCCGACTTGAGAATCAGCTCGCCCTGCAGGGTGTCAGCAAGGTCCCCTCCACGGAAGAGGAGGGGCAACGGGGCGCCGTCATCCAGCCCCCGCATCTCGGCCATCTCCAGGTAGATCCGCTGCTTCTCACTGAGGCTCTGTGCAATCTGCTGGTCTTTCACGTTCAGCCTCTCTGTAAAGTCATGTGGAGGGCTATGTCGGCTGGGCAGGGCTGGGGCCTGACCCCCTGGGACTCCCCTACTCCCCCACATCCATCTCAACTTAGAGCAAACCTCCACCAGTGAGGATGGGTCCACTGATAATCTCCCCCAGGGATAAAAATCTGGAGAGATAGTACAGTAGGGAAGGCACTTGTTGTGCACACGGCTGAATCACGCTCAATCCCTCGCACCCCAGAGGGTCCCCTGAGCTCCACTAAGAGTGACCCCTGAGTGCAGAGTCAGGAGAAAGCCCTGAGCACCGTCTGGGTGCTCCAAAACACAACAAGAAGAATAAACAAATGGGGGCTGGAGTGATAGTACAGCGGGTAAGGCCTTTGCCTTGCACACGGCCCATCCGAGTTCGGTTGGGCCAGCATCCCATAGGGTCCCCCGAGCACTGCCAGGAGTAATTCCTGAGAGACAGAGCCAGGAGTAACCCCTGTGCATCGCCGGGTATGACCCCAAAAGCAAAAAAAAAAAAAAAGAAAAAAAGAAACAAATGTGGTTCCTTCCTTCCTTCCTGGTGGTGGTACTTGGGTGGCTATCGGGATTGAACTGGACTTAGTTGCGTGCAAGGCAAGCGCCTCTCCCCCCTCCCTGTCCCCTCTCTCTCTGGCCCATTTTTTTTTTTTCTGCCACCCTGACTGCCTGCATGGTGAAGTGGTATTGTGATACTATTACAGACACTGATGGAGAAATACTGTTTGGAGATTTTTGTTATTTCCTTCCCTCGTTTTTGGTGCTGGGGGCCACTCCCAGCGGTGTTCGACCACGAGGTGCTGGGGTCGGGTGGGGTGGGCAGGGTCAGCGCACACGGTGGCATCTGAAACGATCACGCTGAATGAGGTCAGCCGAGGGAGGCAAAAGGGCAGATGCCATGTGACCCCCGGGCCAAGAGGTACCTCAAACGGCCAATTCCTGGGGCAGGAAAGTAGGATGAGGGGTGACCAGGCCGGGGAGAGGAAGTGTTTAGAGATGCAGCTTAGGTTTGGGGGGACCACAATCTCGGAGGAACAGGGGTCCCTATCATGCATACTCTGGGCTCTGGATAATTTTTTGGGGGGTTGCTACTTCCCAGACATGTTTGGTTGGCCTGAGGCTGAGGTGCTTGGGGCTACAGTGCTGGGGATGGAACTCAGGGCCTGAACCTCACCCTACAGGCAGTCTCCCCAACCCCACATGTTATTTTGTTATTTCAAAGTGGTGGTGTCAGAGAAGGAACCCAGCCATGAGAGAGCATGTGGCAGGCAGACCCGGGTTCAATCCCCAGCACCCCAGAGGGTCCCCCTAGCCCTGTCACAAGTGATCCCAGAGCACAGTGCTAGGAGTCAGCCCTGAGAACCACGGTGTGTGTGTGTGTGTGTGTGTGTGTGTGTGTGTGTGGTCACTACTCTCCTCCAAAAAAAAGAAAAAAAATCACTCAACAACTAAACAAAAAGGGGGCTGGAGAGGTAGGTAGGGCGTTTCCCTTGCATGCGGCCGACCCGGGTTCGATTCCCAGCATCCCATATGGTCCCCTGAGCACCACCAGGAGTCATTCCTGAGTACAGAGCCAGGAGTAACCCCTGTGCATTGCCGGGTGTGAGCCAAAAAGCAAAACAAACAAACAAACAAAAAAACCCAACTAAACAAAAAAATCTGAATGTGTGAATGGGGTGGGGTATGGGGCTATGGGTTGTATGTTAATAGTTTCTGGGGCTTGGGGTCTTGAGCGAGAGCACAGTGGGTAGGGCTTCTGCCTTGCACGCAGCCGACCCGGGTTCGATTCCCAGCATCCCATATGGTCCCCTGAGCACCGCCAGGAGTAATTCCTGAGTACATGAGCCAGGAATAACCCCTGAGCATCGCTGGGTGTGACCCAAAAAGCAATGAATAAATAAATAATTAAATAAATAAATGGAGTTTCAGAGCCACCTGAGGAAGACGGGGGCCCAGCTGAGTGCCAGGATGGCCCGTTCCCCCTGCGAGCTTCTTTCCAGATGCCCCCTCGAGGGGCGCCCATGGCCAGCTCCTCCCCCAGCCCTGCCGGAGGGACAAGATATTCATCACGCCCCATGTGGGTGGCACAAGGCCACACAGCCGTGGGCACACACAGGCTCTTGTCCCCTTTTCTTTCTTTCTTTTTTTTTTTTTTTGCTTTTTGGGTTCCACCCGGCGATACTCAGGGGGTTCCTCCTGACTCTGCACTCAGGAATTACCCCTGGCGGTGCTCAGGGGACCATATGGGATGCTGGGAATCAAACCCAGGTCGGCCGCGTGCAAGGCAGATGCCCTACCCGCTGTGCTATTGCTCCAGCCCTCTCTTGTCCCCTTTTCTGTAGGGACGGAGCAGAGATGCCCAGAGGTGGCAGGAGGAGGGGGGGGCAGGAAATGGGGACACATGTCGGAGGGAAGGGACCGGGTGCCTCACCCTGGAAGCCTTTCAGCCGCAGCTGGCGGGACTCGACCATCTTCCTCTCCTCCTCCGTCTCACTGAACAGTCCTTCGCCCTCGTCTGGGCAGCTGCGGGGCGAGGGGACAGAGGCAGGAGATGGATGGGGTGTTGGGGGGGTGGGGGGGCCGGGCTGGGGGCTGCAGGACCCTCTGCCAAGCTCCTGTGGTGCCTGAGAAGCGGGAAAATGAGGCGAGAAAGTCCTGTGTCCCATCTGCCTCCCGGGTCTGCACGGGGTCCCGCGTGGGTGGGTGAGTGGGGGGCTCCTGGGAGTGCTGGGGGGGACATCGAGTGATGCCAGGGACCAACCCAGAAGCCGTGGCCAAGCAGGCTTAGGTTCTGGCTATCTGGGCTGTCTCCCCTAGGGGGACCCCAGCCCCACCCCCAGGCCCAGGCTGAGCAGAGCTAAGGGGAACCGGGAGGGAGTGTCTGGGTCACTGGGACTTCGAACCTTCCTCTTTCCTCCTTTTCTTTTGTTTGGGGCCCACACTCTGCAGTGCTCAGGGCTGACTCCTGGCTCTGGGCTCAGGAATCACTCCTGGCGGGGTTCAGGGGACACTACGGGGTGCCAGGGATCGAACCCAGGTCAGCTGTGTGCAAGGCCGGCGCCCTCCCTCCTGCACTACGGCTCCAGCTCACCTGTCTTATTTTTGGGTCACACCTGGGGTTCCTCCTGGCTCCGCACTCAGGAGTGACTCCTGGCAGTGCTCAGGGGACCCTATGGGAGGCTGGGAATCGAACCCGAGTTGGCCGTGTGCAAGGCAAACGCCCTCCCCGCTGTGCTATCACTCCAGCCCCCAGCCACATCTGTCTTGTCCTCTGCCAAGACAGGGTGGACAAATGACTCAGACACCATCTAGAGCACGTTAGGGCCACGACAGAGCCCTGGGGCTGGGGAGGCGGGCTCAAGTGGGCTGAACACAGGCTGTGAGTGTGTGTGGGGGGGAGGCCTGGGTTCGATTCCTGGCACTGCAGGGTCCCTGAGCACCGCTGAGTACAGCTCCAAAAGAAACCAAAGCAGAGGCTGCAGTGACAGAACTGAGGGCATGGGCATGTGCCTGGCACGGGGTCAACCTGCGTTCAATCCTCGGCACCGCACAGTGCTCCCTGAGTCCTGCCAGGAGTGATCCCTGAGCGCAGAGCCACGAGTCAGCTCTGAGCATCGCCGGATGTGGCCCCCAGACCGAATGTAAAAAAAACAAAGAACAAAGACCTGGGTGCCGGGGGGTCAGGAGGCGGCTGAGGTCCTGGGTTCAATTCCTGACACTGGGGACAGAGCGATCGGACACCAGGGAGGGCACTGGCTTTGCGTGCGGCAGACCCGGGTTCGATGCCTGGCACCCCGTAGGGTTCCCTGAGCCCCACCAGGAGTGATTCTTGGGCGCAGAGCCAGGATGAACCCCTGGATGTGGCCCCCAAACAAACCAACAAACCCAAAGAATCCCCCCAAACCGCCATGACCAACCAACACACCCACACCTCAGCCCAGACCCGCAGCGGGGCCCCACCTCTCCACGGCCCGCCGGATGTGGTCCATCCACGCGTTCCGTTCCTCCTTGGAGCCCGTGTGCACCTCGTACATCTCCGGCCCTTGCATCGAGGCGCTGATGAGGAACATGGCCTTGTCCTCGTTGGCCACTTCCCGCACGATGAGCTTCTGGAGCGAGACCACGGGCCGCTTGTTGTCCTGCGTGGGGGTGAGGGCACAGGGTGGGTCGCAAAGCTGCGGGATGCGGCGGGGGTGGGGGGGCCGGGCTAGTCTCCAGGGCGGGCGAAACGGACCGGGTTCGATCCCTGGCCGCACACAAAGGTTCGCCTGGGCACTGCCGGGCGTAGCCTCAAAGCAACACAGGGACCAGAGCGATGGGGCAGCAGGGAGGGCGCTGGCCTTGCATGCGGCCCACCTGGGTTCGATTCCCGACACCCGACTGGGTGGCCTGAGCACCGTCAAGAGTGATCTCTGAGGACCGTGGGGTGGCCCCCCCAAAAAACCAAAAATGAACAATAACAGCAAAAAATAAACAAATGAAGGGGCTGGAGCGATAGCACAGCGGGTAGGGTGTTTGCCTTGCACGCAGCTGACCCGGGTTCGATTCCCAGCATCCCATGTGGTCCCCCGAGCACCGCCAGGAGCAATTCCTGAGTGCATGAGCCAGAAGGAACCCCTGAGCATTGCCGGGTGTGACCCAAAAAGCAAAAAAAAAAACAAACAAAAACTGGGGGCTGGAGGATAGCACAGCGGGTAGAGCGTTTGCCTTGCACGCGGCCGACCCGGGTTCGATTCCCAGCATCCCATAGGGTCCCCTGAGCACCGCCAGGAGTAACTCCTGAGTGCAGAGCCAGGAATAACCCCTGTGCATTTCCGGGTGTGACCCAAAAAGCAAAAAAAAAATTAAAAAAAAACAAAAAACAAAAACAAAAAAAACAAATGAGAACATACAAAACTGTGACTGGATAGAGTGTGTGTGTGTGTGTGTGTAGGGCAGGAAGCAGGGGACAGAAGGCAGCTGTAGGGGCTGGAGCGACAGCACAGTAGGTAGGGCGTTTGCTTTGAATGCAGCCAACCCGGGTTGGATTCCCAGCATCCCATATGGTCCCCCGAGCACCGCCAGGAGTGATTCCTGAGTGCAGAGCCAAGAGTAACCCCTGAGCATCATCGGGTGTGACCCAAAAAGCAAAAAAAAAAAAAAAAAAAAAAAAAAAAAAAGAGGCAAAGGACTCAAGACACGCCTAGGAGAGAGGCCTCAGAAGCCAGAAGCCAGTGGCGCCGGACCTGACTCCCAGACCCCAGGAAAGGGGGGTGGGGTGCAGGGCATGAGGCTCTTTGAGCACTTGGGAGAGAATCTGAAGCCCGCAGTTGGGCTCAGACAGGATCTCATTCTTTGTTTGTTTCGGGGCCACACCCGACGGTGCTCAGGGCTGACTCCTGGCTCAGCCCTCAGTGATCACTCCTGGTGGGGCTTGGGGTACCCTCCGGGATGCCAGGGATCGAACCCGGGTCAGCTGCCTGCCAGGCCAGTGCCCTCCCCACTGTGCTATCGTGCTAGCTCCTACTTCGCTTTGCTGCGACACTGGCAGGGGGCTGTGTGGGGGCTTGGGGACCGAACCTGGGGGAAAAAGCTGCTCCCGCCTCCTCGCCAGAACCCTCTGGCCTTTGGGCAGAGACCAGGAACGAGGTGGGGGGCAGCGTCTGAGGGATGTTCCGGGCTGGTCATCAGGAACCCCACGACCCGCCCCCCACCCCCTGCCGTGGGCGGATCGTACCACAGCCGCGAAGACGTATTTCTGGTCTTTCTCCTGAAGCAGCAGCAGGACATCGGTCAGCAGCACGGCCAGGACATCTGCGGGGAGCAGGCACAGCTGGGACAGGGCCACGCCTTGCTGCGTCCCAGCCCTGCCTGCACACACGGTCCAGGACCCTAGACTCCCAGGCTGCCCGCTGGCCCCAGGCTCTGCAACCCCCGGCCTTGATTTCCCCTCTGGTCTCCGGGCTGCAGGTGGCCGAGTGGCGGCTGGCTCGCACCCCACCCGGCCACCCAGCTTCCCGGGGTGAGGGGGCAGATTCACAGCTGCACGGACGCCCCTTATCTCTCCGGCCCCTACTAACCGCCGAGGGCCTGCTCCCTCCCGCCATCCCAGGACGGAGCCACCAATCCGAGACAGCAGCCTTGATTCCAGGATGGTGGCCCCAGCCTGACACAGTACATCCCAGTTCAGACAGAAACCATAAAACCAAGGTGCTGCCCATCCTGGATGGTGGCGCCCCCTGCAGGATGATGCCTATGACCCAACGGGGACTCACCATGCCAAGAGGGTGCCCCCAATCCAACATGGCGTCCATACCCCCCACCATCCCAACTGGCCTCATACAGACAGTACCCCCAACCCAACGTGGCACCCCTAATCCAACAGGGATTCCGGATTGGGTCTGGATACATACATCCAAGATGGGGCTGGGACCCTCAATCCCAACATGGTGCCACCCCCATCCCTCCAGAGAGGGTCCAAAGATCCAAGATGGTACCCCTCAATCTAACTTGGTGCTCTGAATTCCAGATTGGATCCATCTATCCAAAATGGTGGCTCTAATCCAACTTGGTGGCCCCATCCAACATGGTAACCCCCATTCCTAACTGGGTCCATACATCCAGGATGCTACCCCCAATCCAACACGGTGCCCCCACTCTCCAGATAGGATACCAAAGATGGTACCTAATCCAACATGGTGTCCCCCACCACCACCACACTGGGTCCGCCCACCCCAGACAAGGCACCAACCCTGGATGGCGGCTCCCACTGTAGGCCGAGGCCTCCAATCCCGGATGGCATCACGGATCCAGCTGGGACCCGCCACTCCAGGGTGACACTTCCCACTTGCTACTCCAAGACTCATTCGGGCAGGGGCCCACCCACCACAGGGCCGGGGCGTCACCTTTCAGGCGCCCCGACGTGCTCTTCCAGCACAGCGGGCCGTCCAGGTACAGCTGCCGCCGCAGGACATCATCCCGGCGGAAGGTCCGCCCGCTGTCCAGCTTGCTGGCCGCCTTGGTGTCCATCTTGCCCACGATCTCCCTCAGCCGCTGGCCTCTCTCTGACTCGCTGACCTTGGCGTCCACTTGGGAGATGACGTCTCTGATGAGGCTCAGGGCTTGCGTCAGGGCCTCACGGTCCTCAGAGCCGGCTGACGGACAGACAGACAGACAGACAGACACACACACGGCCACGTGAGTCCACACTCTGGGGGCCCATCCAAGAAATGCTACCCTGGCATCAATGTCGCCACTGGACGTCTGGGTTTGGCCAAGACAGGGCAGACTACAGGGACATTCCAAGCCCCCCATCACTCCTGTGGGGTACAGGCTCCCTGGGCCCTCCACCTCCCGTCACTGGAAACTGTGAGAGCAGCCTTTTTGTTTATTTTTTTTTGCTTTTTGGGTCACACCCGGTGATGCTCAGGGGTTCCTCCTGGCTCTGCACCCAGGAATCACTCCTGGCGGTGCTCAGGGGACCATATGGGATGCTGGGAATCGAACCCGGGTCGGCCGCGTGCAAGGCAAACGTCCTACCCAGTATACTATCACTCCGGCCCCTGTGAGAGCAGCTGCCCCCCTCTCCCTGCAAAGGCACGTCTGAGGGCCCTGGTTGTGGGCCGGAGAGCTCAGAGCTGAGCCTACGTGGGTACCCCACGAGGGATCCTACCCAACGGGCACCATCTCCACCCCCAGACTCCGACATGCTCCGCGCCAGGGATGGGAGGTTGCAGCAGGGGCACCCCGTCTTTCTGGCTCCAGGAAGGCGGGTGGCGCTCAGGGAGCCGGGAGCCAGCGCCCCCCCACCCCGGGCGTGGTGGGGAGGGGGAGGGGCCCCCGTACCTTCCGTGTTCTGCATCATCCGCTCCACCAGCACCGGGTACTTGGTGATGCGCTGCGTCACCAGCAGGACGCACTCCTGCACGCCCAGGCGCCGCACGATGGGCAGGTTGCCGATTTTCTGGGGCGTGGGAAAGCGGCCGGGTCAGCTACCAGCCGCGGGGCTGACGGCATGCGGGCTGGGGCGGGAGGCCTGCAGCCCACTCCCCCGAAAAGCCATTGGCAGGAGCTGACTCAGGAGCTACAAGGGCTTCTGCTCTCCCCAGGAAGGAACCAGAACCATGCACCCCCCCCCCCCCACACACACACCCACACTCCCCTTAACATACAACGGCCCGACACCCACACTCCCTGTTTTTTTTTTTTTTTTTTTTTTGCTTTTTTGGATCACACCCGGCGATGCACAGGTGTTGCTCCTGGCTCTGCACTCGGGAGTTACTCCTGGTGGTGCTCAGGGGACCCTATGGGATGCTGGGAATCGAACCCGGGTCGGCCGCGTGCAAGGCAAACGCCCTACCCGCTGTGCTATCGCTCCAGCCCCCCACACACTCCCTGTTAACACACACACACACTCTTCCTAATCAGAAAGGTTTCTTTTCTTTTTTTGGGGGGGGGGGTTCATATTCGGCAATGCACAGGGGTCACTCCTGGCTCCGCACTAAGGAATGACACCTGCAGGTGCTCGGGGGACCCTATGGGATGCTGGGAATTGAACCTGGGAAGGCCGTGTGCAAGGCAAACGCCCTCCCAGCTGTGTTATTATGGCTCCAGTCCTTAGAAACGTTTCTGTGAGGCTAGAGAGACAGTCCAGAGGGAAAGTGCTTGTCTGACACAGACGACCCAGGTTCGATCCCCGGAAACCCACAGGGCTCTCCCCCACCAAGCCCCACCAGGAGGCAACCCCTGAGCACCAGCAGGTGAGGCCTGGGTGGACCCCCCATCCCGGTGCCTGAACACAGGCTCCTTTGGTTGGGAGAGGCCCCCAGAGTACCGAACGGAAGCGTCTAACCCCGACCCCCCACCCCCGCGACGCAAAAAATCCTTCTCCCGGTTCTTTTGCTCACCTTGATCAGGTTCTGAAACTTCTTGTTCTGCTGCAGCAGGAGCTTGTAATGACTGATGGCTTCGTTGTGGCCGCTGCAAAAGACCCCGTACTTCTCCTTCATCTTCTCCCCATTCTCACCGGAAAACTGCAGGGAGAGAAGGAATGAGCGAATGGGGGGCTGGGGATTGGCAGGCAGTGACCACCCCCTCAGTGGGCGTGGCAGGTGCTGCGGCCCCGCCCCGGTGGGCGGAGACAGGCGGTGTGGCCCCGCCCCCAGTGGGCGTGGCAGGTGCTGTGACCCCTCCCCAGTGGGCGTGGCAGGTGCTGTGACCCCGCCCCAGTGGGCAGAGGCAGGTGATGTGACCCCGCCCCCCCAGTGGGCGGGGGCAGGCGGCGTGGCCCCGCCCCAGTGGGCGTGACAATTGATGTGGCCCCGCCCCAGTGGGCGTGGCAGGTGTTGTGACCCCGCCCCGGCGGGCGTGGCAGGCTATGTGACCCCCGCCCCCCAGTGGGCGGAGGCAGGCGGCATGGCCCCACCCCAGTGGGCGTGACCATTGGTGTGGCCCCGCCCCCACTGGACGTGGCAGGTGCTGTGACCCCCCCAACCCCCAGTGGGTGGAGGCAGGTGGTGTGACCCTGCCCCCCAATGGGCGTGGCAGGTGATGTGACCCCGCCCCCGTGGGCGGGGGGGGGAGGTGGCGTGGCTCCGCCCCCAGTGGGCGTGACAGTTGGTGTGGCCCCGCCCTACTGGGCGTGGCAGGTGCTGTGATCCCGCCCCAGTGGGCAGAGGCAGATGTGACCCCGCCCCCAGTGGGCGTGACAGACGACGTGGCTCCACCCAGTGGGCGTGGCAGCAGATGTGGCCCCCGCCCCCACTGGGCGTGGCGGGTGCTGTGACCCCCCCACCCCCAGTGGGCGGAGGCAGGTGGTGTGACCCCTCCCCAGTGGGTGGCAGCCGCAGGGCCCTATCCGCGAGCAGCAGAGACCAGACGGGGCCGGTGGGGAGGGCTCCCACCACGCCCACCTGCTGGAGAAGGAGGTCCCCGATCTTCTGGATGATGTAGTTGCGCTCGCTGCCTTCCTCCAGGGACTCCTGGCGCCGCTCCTTGAGGCGGGCCAGGAAGTGGCCGTGCAGCTCCAGGAGGCCCTCGGCGCTGGGGAAGAGGAGGCGCACGTCCTGGGGGCCCAGCTGCAGCTCCTCCCGCAGGGCGCGCCCGTACACGCGGAGCAGGATCTTCAGCGTGCGCACGTGGTGGGCCTCGGTCTGCATCAGCTCTGCGGGCGACAGGGGCCCAGCTGAGCCCGGGGGCACAGGGCACCCCGGCGTCCACAGGGAGGGGGGACAGGCCGGCTCCTCCCCGCGCCCCGGCCCAGTCTGAGCCTGGGGTTCCCACACTCTCCGGCCCGGCACTGCAGGAGGGCCCAGGGAGCGGGGGGCGGGTGGGCTTCCCGGCTTAAGCAGGGAGCCGGGGCTGCAGCACTAACAGGAAACAGGTCGTCAGGCACGGGGTTGGGGCTGGAAGACCCCAAATTCAGAGAAGGTTTGGGTCCTCCAGAGGTGCCTCAAGGCTTTCTAGGATGCTTCTCTGACCCTGCACTATCTCCCGGACCCGCTTTTCCCTTTTAAAAAAATTTCACGGGGCCAAAGAGATGGTATGGCGGGGAGGGCGCTTGCCTTGCACGGTTCAGTCCCTGGCATCCCATCTGAGCCCTGAGCACTGCTTGGTGTGGTCCAAAAACAAATAAATAGAAAACCCAATTTTTTTAAACTGGATTTTATTTGGGGATCTCCCCAGCCCTAATTCTTGGGTAACCAGGCCATTGGTTCAATACTAGGGCCCAAGGGGACTTGTGCGTTCTGGGTCATCCTGGAGGCGCTGGGTGGAGCACAGGGTGTGGGGCTCACTCAGTGCCTGGGATTGAACTCTGGGCCTTGTACTATTTCCCTGGCCACCAGGGGCTGGAAAAGTAGAGGAGTGAGGGGTTATATTGAGGAGAAGGCGGGGCTGTACTGGAGAAAAGGCGGGGCTATGATGGGGAGGCGGGGCTAAATGGAGGAAGAGGTGGGACTATCCTGGAGGAGGTGGAGCTATGCTGGGAGGAGGCGGGGCTATGCTGGGAAGGAGGCGGAACTAAACTGGGGATTTGGAGTTGTACTGGGAGAGGAAATGCGGCCACGCTGGGGAAGAAGGGGACTATCTACAAGAGGGGCTATGCTGGGGAGGTGGGGCTACACTGGGGAGAGGTGGGGCTATGTTGGGGAGGAGGTGGGGCTATGTTGGGGAGGAGGTGGGGCTATGTTGGGGAGTGATGCTATGGAGGGGGCGGGGCTATGTTGGAGAGAAGGTGGGGCTATGCTGGGGAGGCGGGACTACATACGGGGAGGCGGGGCTATGCTGGGGAGTGGGTGGGACTATACTGGGAAGGGGGTGGGGCCATGCTGGGGCGGGGGCGGGGCTATGTTGGAAAGGGGTGGGGCCATGCTGGGGCAGAGGCGGGGCTATACTGGGAAGGGGGTGGGGCCATGCTGGGGCAGAGGCGGGGCTATACTGGAAAGGGTCTGGTACCATGCTGGGGCGGAGTTGGGCTATACTGGAAAGGGGTGGGGCCATGCTGGGGCAGAGGCGGGGCTATACTGTGAAGGGGTGGGGCCATGCTGGGGCGGAGGCGGGGCTATGCTGTGAAGGGGTGGGGCCATGCTGGGACGGAGGCAGGGCTATGCTGGAAAGGGGTGGGGCCATGCTGGGGCAGAGGCAGGGCTATGCTGGAAAGGGGTGGGGCCATGCTGGGGCGGAGGCGGGGCTATGCTGGAAAGGGGTGGGGCCATGCTGGGGCAGAGGCGGGGCTATGCTGGAAAGGGGTGGGGCCATGCTGGGGCAGAGGCGGGGTTATACTGGGAAGGGGGTGGGGTCATGCTAGGGCGGAGGCGGGGCTATACTGGGAAGGGGGTGGGGCCATGCTGGGGCAGAGGCGGGGTTATACTGGGAAGGGGGTGGGGTCATGCTGGGGTGGAGGCGGGGCTATACTGGGAAGGGGGTGGGGCCATGCTGGGGCAGAGGCGGGGTTATACTGGGGAGGGGGTGGGGTCATGCTGGGGCGGAGGCGGGGCTATACTGGGAAGGGGGTGGGCCATGCTGGGGCGGAGGCGGGGCTATACTGGGAAGGGGGTGGAGCCATGCTGGGGCAGAGGCGGGGCTATACTGTGAAGGGGTGGGGCCATGCTGGGGCAGAGGCGGGGCTATATTGGGAAGGGGGTGGGGCCATGGGGGCAGAGGCGGGGCTATGCTGGAAAGGGGTGGGGCCATGCTGGGGCGGAGGCGGGGCTATGCTGGAAAGGGGTGGGGCCATGCTGGGGCGGAGGCGTGGCTATGCTGGAAAGGGGTGGGGCTGTACCCCAGGCTGCCCAGTAGTTGGTGGGGGGAGTTGGCCGCGGGGCCCCTGGCTGAGAGGTGAGCGGCACCCAGACTCCCGGGTGGGCCTCCTTACCGTACAGCACGTCCTGCCTCTTGACCACCTCCTTCTTCTGCTTCTTGGCATAGGCCGGCTCAACCGACAGGCTCCAGGACTCGGCCTCAAACTCATGGGTGTCGGCTTCCAGCTCGCTCCTGAGCGAGGCAGTGTAGGGGTCTGGGGTGGGGGGTCAGGAGAGAGTGAGGGGCAGCTGCCGGCACCCTCCCTTGAGACGTGGGTGCACGGGGTGGGGTGGGGGGGGCGCGTACCTTCCACAAAAACAGAGTCGGTGTTGGAGGAGGTGAGCGACAGGGAGTCGTCGGCCACCGGCTTGAACTTGAGAAAGAGGCCGTCGGTCTCGTCCATTTCTCCGGTGACGGCGCTGAAAAGGAAATCGGAATTTCCTTTTATTATTTAGTTGAGAAAAGGAACCGAGGCCGGGCCAGGAAAAGACCCGCACGTTTGCTTTTTAGGAAGGCCAAGCGGATTTTACCCCCATCCAGGGAGAGGCCGTGGGACAGCAGAAACCTCCCGCCACCCACAGGCCACTGTTACTTATTTACATATTTGGGGCCGGGGGAGGCTTGAGCCCTGGGATTATTTAGATGCAGGGACCGAACAGGAGTCAGCTGGGTGCCATGTAAGCGCCTAACCCCCTAAACTACCTCTGTGGCCCTACAGATCACTTTGTGCATGTGTGTGTGTGTGTGTGTGTATGTGTGTTGGCCACACCCAGTGGTGCTCAGTGCTTGCTTCCTGCTCTGCACTCAGGGGTCACTCTGGCAGAGCTTGGGGGACCCTCTTTGGGGTTGGGGATCAACCCAGGTCAGTTGTGTGCAAGGTAAGCCTGACCGGCCGAACTATCTCCTGGGTGTCCCCATGAATCCCTTATAAAAACCAGGGTGCAGGGGCTGGAGAGATAGCACAGCGGGTAGGGCGTTTGCCTTGCACGCGGCCGACCCGGGTTCGATTCCCAGCATCCCGTAGGGTCCCCTGAGCACCGCCAGGAGTAACTCCTGAGTGCAGAGCCAGGTATGACTCAAAAAGCAAAAAATTTAAAAATAAATAAATAAATAAATAAAAACCAGGGGCTGGAGCAATAGCACAGTGGGTAGGGCGTTTGCCTTGCAAGCGGCCGACCTGGGTTTGATTCCCAGCATCCCATAGGGTCCCCCAAGCACTGCCAGGAGTAATTCCTGTGCATCGCTGGGTGTGACCCAAAAAGCAAAAAAAAAAAAAAAAAAAAACACCAGGGTGCAGGGAGATAGCTCAGTGGCCTGGAACACGGGCTTTGCTTGTGGGAGTTCCGGGTTCAATTCCTGGCACTGCCTGGTCCCCCAAGCATCACAGAGTGACTCCTGAGCACTGCTCCCCAGCCCCCTAGAAGCAAATAAAAATTAGGCCACTTCTGAATCTTCCACTGAACAGCACTGTCTCACTGTAACTAACTTCTACTGACAGTCTGTTGTAGTGCTTTCTTTTTCTTTGGGGGTGGGGGTACTAATGGATCACTCCTGGTGGTCCCGGGGAGGGAAGGAACATAGGAGATGCCAAGGATCGAACCCGGGTCGGCTGTGTGCAAGGCCAACACCCTCCCTTGCTTTTAGGATCATTCCAGCCCCAAGTCTCTCAATTCTTTCTGGAAAGAGTCAGGGTAGCAGCCACTGGGAGGAGGCTGACAGGGACCCCTTTCTTAGATGGGATGGGGGAAAAATTTTAGCAAGTCACAGAAGGATGGCTGAATTGCTGTTTCTAGACTTGAGAAAGAGCGGTCAACAGGCTATACTACATGCTTTATTATTTTTTTTTCGGGGGCGGGGGGGACGGTCAGACACCCAACAGTGCTCAAGGCTTATTCTCCGGGCTCTATGCTCAGGGATCACTCCTGGCAGGGCTCAGGAGACCCTATGGGATGCTGGGGATCAAGCCCCGTGTGCTCTCATTCCTGTCCCTAAAGGCACATGTCTGCATGCATGAAGGCCGGGTCAGATCCCTGGCACCATGTATGTTAACCTGCCCCTGCCCAGCCCCTGCCCCCCACAATGCTGGGAGGGACGCCCAAGCTCAGAGAGAGCCCAGGAGAAGCCCCTGAGCACTGCTGGGTGTGGGTCTCCAACCCTCGCCCCAAACAGACAAACAGGGGTGCGGGCTGTGGTCTGCTACCCAGACGTGGCTCTAACCAGCCTCTCCAAGTCAGGAAAAGCAAGAGCCCTCCCCATCCACCTGGGGTCACCTCCCTGGGGTTCCGAGCACTGTCTGGGGCCGGGGAGAAGCAGATGGACCGCCCAGGGTGCTGTGGGGACACGGTGAGGGTCCCCCCCACCCCCGGGGGGAGCGTAAAACCCAGGGTGATGGGAACGGTACCCCATGCCGCGTCCTGTCTGCAAAAGGAGCAGGGAAGTGGACTTTCCTGGCAGGTGTTAATGGGAATTCTGCCACTTGGTTGGGGGGTCCCGGCCTGCGGGGAAGGGGGGAAGGGGGAGTCGGGGGAGGGTCTCCCGGCCGAGAGAGAGGCTGTGTCGTCCCCCCCCCCTGCCCGGCTTACCCAGCTCGAGGCCCCGATGCGCCCGCAGGGCTGGCAGGTGGCTGGGGCACCCCCTTCGGAGTCACCGTCATGCCGACATTCCTGGCGGGGCCCGGGCTGCCATCCGACGCCGGGAGTGGGGCCCGGGGGTGCTCCCGGAGGGAGGCTGCGATGGAGGCAAAGACTGAGTTGGAGCTGAGCAGGGGGCCTGGGCAGCGCGGGGGCCGCGGTGGCCGCAGCGTGGACAGGACCCGAGAGGTGAGCAGCTCATCGGCCAGCAGGACCCGGTCACTCCACTTCCTGGGGCAGGAGCCGCACAGGGCCAGCTCGGGCCGGCGGCGGGGGGCGGCACCGGGCCGCTGGCCACCCTTGGGATGCACGCTGCCCATGGTCAGCCGGGGCTCCGCAGGGACCCCCCCCCTCTCGGCCCGGCGCCTCTTGGAGCTCCCGGGGGAGGAGATCCTTCTGGAAAGGAGAAGCAAGCGGCTTCTGCGCCGAGTGTCTTGGTCGCAGGGCAGGAAACGGGTCCCCAGGGAGCGGGGAGGGCAGGGGCAGCGATCACTGGACCGCCCGCCGGGGACACGGAGGCGAGAGCCCCTTCCCCCCCCAGGGAGGGTCGAGGATGCTGAGTGAGGTGGGGGGAGCCGGGGCTGGGGGGATCATCCCCGCAGACACACACACACAGACACACACAGACACACTGATAGACACACACACACACACGCCAGACATATACAGATTCACTTACACGGATAGACACACCCCACAGACACAGAGACACACATATAGACACACACACACAGACACACTGATTGACACACACACACATACCAGACAGACACACACACACGCCAGACATATACAGATTCACACACACACACACACACCAGACACATACAGATTCACTTACACGGATAGACACACCCCACAGACACAGAGACACACATATAGACACACACACACACACACTGATAGACACACACACACCAGACAGACAGACACACACACGCCAGACATATACAGATTCAGTTACACAGATAGACACACCTGACAGAGACACACATAGAGACACACGCATACACACCAGACACACATACACACAGATTCACTCACACATCAGAGACGCATAGACACACACATCAGAAACACACATACAGACACACAGACCAGAAACAGTGATTCACTTACACAGACACGCACACCCCAAAGACACACATAGTCACACACATCCACACACCCCCAAAGACACACATACACACCAGACACAGATTCACTCATACAGACACAAACCCTACACACACACATACACACACCAGACATATACAGATTCACTTACATGGATATACACACCCCACAGACACAGAGACACACATATAGACACACACACACCAGACACACATACACACAGATTCACTCACACATCAGAGACGCATAGACACACACATCAGAAACACACATACAGACACAGAGACCAGAAACAGTGATTCACTTACACAGACACGCACACCCCAAAGACACACATAGTCACACACATCCACTCACACACACACACCCCAAAGACACACATACACACCAGACAGATTCACTCACACAGACACAAACCCTACACACACACACATACACCTACCAGGCATATACAGATTCACTTACACGAATCTACACACCCCACAGACAGAGACACACATAGAGACACACACACACACACACACAGATTCACTCATGGACACACAGCAGAGGCACTCAGACACACACATTCAGACACACACAGGTCAGACACAAAGAAACACAGTGACTCACTTACACAGACACACCCTCCCCCAAGACATACAAAGACATACAGTAACAAACACAGATGCATTCAGGCACACCCCTGCGCAGACCTACACATCAACACACGCAGATCCTTCACAAATACTCTCCCACAGACAGACACAGCAACACACACCGGTCCACTCAATCACACCACAGACATGCACAGAGACACATACACAGTAACACTGAGACACACACACACCATAGGACACATACACAGACACCAGAGAAATATACACATACAAAAGGACACACAGAAAAGCACCATACGCAGACACACCAGAGACACTCATACAGACATATACACACGATAACAGACAGACACACACACACACACACACACACACACACACACACACTCAAACGAAAACTGACCACCCAGAACAGGTGGGACCCCTAGAAACAGACAGCTCAAGAGGCCGCAGTCCTGGTGCTACTGATCCTGTCTATGAACCTGGAGGAACCCGTGGTTGTCATTCACAGAGAGAACACAAGGGTTAAAAGCTTCCCCGGGGGTCTGGAGAGATAGCACAGCGGGTAGGGTAGGGAGGTTTGCCTTGCACGCGGCCGACCCGGGTTCGATTCCCAGCATCCCATATGGTCCCCTGAGCACCGCCAGGAGTAACTCCTGAGTGCAGAGCCAGGAGGAACCCCTGTGCATCGCCAGGTGTGACCCAAAAAGCAAAAATAAATAAATAAATAAATAGGGACTCGTTATTAAAAAAAAAAAAAGCTTCCCCGGGAATGCCCTGCCACAGAGGCAGGGTGGGATGGGAGGGAAGGGGGAAGGGGTGGGAGGGCTACTGGGATCCGTGGTGGTGGAGAATGGGCACTGGTGGAGGGATGGGTACTCGATCATTGTATAACCGAAACCCAAGCACAAAAGGTTGTCAGTCTACAACTGTACCTCACGGTGTTTCACTAATAAAAATCTAAACAACAAAACAAAACAAACCAAAAAGCTGCTCCAAGCACAGCCAGGAAATGGCCCCAGCCCCGCTTTAAAAAAAAAAAAAACAAAGTTCGGAGCTGGAGCGATAGCACAGCGGGGAGGGCGTTTGCCTTGCACGCGGCCAACCCGGGTTCGATTCCCAGCATCCCATAGGGTCCCCTGAGCACCGCCAGGAGTAATAAAAAAAAAGAAAAGCTCTTTGGGAGAGGTCGGAGTGATAGGACAGTGAGGGGGAGGGCGTTTTCCTTGCAGATCGTCAAACGGGGCTCAATCCCCGGCATCCCAGAGGGACTCAGAGCACTGCCAGGAGTGACCCCTGAGATCAGAGTCAGGAGTCAGCCCTGAACAGCACCAGGTGTGTCCCCCTTCAACAAAACAAAAACGTTCTTTGGGGTGCAGGTACAATTCCATGCTTTGTTTTGGGTTTTTTTTGGCTACTGTTTCTGGGGGCCACACCCGGCAGTGCTCAGGGAGCTAGTCCCGATGGTGTTGGGGGACCAAGTGGCGTTTAGGGGTGGAACCCGGGGCTCTTGCGTGCAAAGCCGGGGCTTGGGGCCCGCTGGGCACCTCCCCGCCCTTTCCCCCAGAGGACGGCCCGGCCCAACTGGGTGTGTCCCCCAGCCAACAGGATCGGAACAAGGTCCACTTCCTGATCTGGACAGCAGCCGGCCGCGGGATCCGCCAGGCCGACGTTGACACTCTGGGGGTACAGGAACTGTGTCCCATGTGGAAACTGCCGTCCCCCTCTCCGTCTCCTGGACAAGTCAGTCGTTTCTCGTGACTGGCCGGTCTATGGAGACATATTCTAGAAAGCTTCCACAGGGGCTGGAGAAAGTCCAGCAGAGAAGGCACTTACCCTGCACCCCAGCTGGACGGACCCCTGGCATTGCACAGAACCCCCCAAGCCCCACCGGAAGTGACCCCTGGGCAGGAGTCAACCCTGAGCACTGCCAGGTGTGACCCACCCCCAAACCAAAAACAAACAAACAAACAGAATCCCCCATGACTGCTAGATTTGGGGAGCCTGGGGCCATGGGATCGAAGCAGCACCATAGCCTCGGGCCTTGGCATTGAACCCATAGCCCTGCCTGGCAGAAACCATCTACGAGGGTTCCTGGGGCCTCTTGAGCACCCCATGGGAAGGTCGCCACCCCCCACCACCGAAAAAACAAAAAGCAAAAAAAAAAAAAAAAAAAAACCAAAACCTGGGCTGGTGGTGACTGCATGAGAGGAAAGATGTTCAGCTGTGCACTGCAGGAGTGGACAGAAGCCCCGGTCTGTGAATGACTAAAACAGGAGCAGCTTCTCTGGTCCTTTGGGAAGAGCCAGGGGGGCAGCCAGGGTGGGAGGCGGGGCTGGTTATTCACATGTGCTGTCATTCACATGTGCTATAATTTACCTCTGATTCACCTGGTTCTAGAATCCACCCGGGACTGTAATTCCGCTGGTGCTATAATTTGCCTGTAATTCACCTGGCTGGTTCCATAACTCACCAGGTTCTGTAATTAACATGTGCTATGTAATTCGCCTGGCTCTGTCATTCGCCTGATTCTGAAAGTGACCCCAGGTTCGGTAATTCACAGGTGCCGTGATTCACCTGGCGCTGGAATTCACATGTGCTGTCACATCACCTGGAACTCTAGGGTTCTTATAATTCGCCGGGCTCTGTAATTACCTGCCTGTAATTTTCACCTGGTTCTATCATTCGCCGGTTCTGTAATTCACATGTGCCATAATGCACCCGGTTCTATAAGTCATATGTGCTATCATCCACCTGTCATTCGCTGGTTCGGTCATGCTCCTGGTTCTGTGATTCACCTGCGTTCACAGGGTGCTGTGTGTGATTCACCTGTGATTCATCTGATTCTACAATCTCCGTCAAGGGGGGACCCTGCCTGGGACTCAGACTTTGGGAAGCTGCCTCTCGGCCAACCACCCCACATTTTCCCCCTGGGTCCCGGCGGGACGGACGGACACACAGACCCTGCAATGCGCGCTCGAGGGTCCAGCGGGGCACTGCCTAGCACCGCCTGCTCGCACCCTGCTGGAGCCAAGCCTCAGCCCTAATTAGCACCGTCTGCCCACTGCTGGGAGCGACCATCGATCCACTGGCAGGGCAGCTGGCCGCCGGCTGTGGCTGCGGGCCACCGAGACGTCCCTGCCGGGGGGGCCCGGGGTGCAGGGGGCGGGGGAGAAGGCAGGGATGACGAACCGGGAAAATGGGGTGTAGGTTCTGGGTCTGGAGGGGACTCAGTGACAAACACCCCAGAGCCTAGCCCTGATGGCTGTCTTTCCCCATCCCTTCGGTTTCTTTGCTCTGGTTTTTCTGGGGCAGGAAGGTGTGTGTGTGTGTGTGTGTGTGTGTGTGTGTGTGTGTGTGTGTGTGTGTGTGTGTGTGTTGGGGGGGTAGCATCACTGGGATGCCCGGAGGTGGAACTCAGGCCTCCTGCCTCAGTCTCCTGAATCTTCTTCTGACACTAGCCAGGACCAGGATGGGGCGAAAAGGCACTTCTCGGCACGTTACAGAGAAAGCAGGCGGCGGGGGGGCGCTGGCCTGGCACCCCACAGGGTCCCCCAGCCCTGCCAGGAAGGATTCCTGAGTGCAGTCCCCCTCCCCTCCAAAGT